AACAAACTGAGAGGCTGGGACCAGACTGAATGAATGAGTAGTTTGCAAATTATCTGATCACCCTGATCAATGCAATACTGCAGAATCTAGTCAAAATACTAAAACAGACACAGTCTAACAGTGCTAATTCTTGTATTACAAGAAATATTACACAGAACTCTAAAAATTGCAATGCATGTGTGAAGGAAAATAGGTGTATTTTAGAACAAAAATCTATGCCATCTTCATGAAAATTTCAAACCCAAAATCCTACCTTACAATCCAAATTACATCTACTTTCAGTTTTAGACAGTACTCACTTTGGATTAATTTAGATCAAGACAGTTTTGAGCTGTGACAGTTGAAATGCAACCCCCCTTAAACCAATATGTAATAATCTTTTCCACAAGAGAAAAGAAAATCTACATGAAGAGGTATTTGCAAAAAGGAAGTTTTAAAACCTTAAAAAAAAAAAATCAATGTTCTAAAAAGCTGGAGGAAAAAAGGATAAACACTGACAAAATTGGTACTTTTGACATGAAAAGTTCTGATACGTTATAAATTTTAGCACATTTTTTGGTTAGCAAATTCACTGTGGAGGTAATGTCATAAAAACCATAGCATCTGTCAAAATTACCAGCCTCTTAATTTTGAAAAAAATGACATGTGAATAATTACTGTTTTTCCTCAGAACATCTTGCTTTAATGCTACTTTATCCCAAAAGGCTAAATGCAAAGTAAACCAGGGAATATGTGCTTTTTAGGTACCCTTCTACAGCAAAAAGACCTCCTGACTGGTCTATGATCTCTTGGTTCCTCTGGATGAGAAGGCAGGTGACCAAATTCCTTCACAAGGGCAGTGAAAGACAATGGATTGAAGCTCTAGAAGAAAGGCTTGTTATAAACTGAACCACTCTTCTTCCAAAGGCAGGATATGTAACAGAAAAAACGAGTAACATGCTCGAGGCATAGCACTTCTGCATTTTCTGACAGAATATAATGAATTACAACTTCCTACAAAATTCCTTTCATCTGTTTCTTGAAATACACTCTGTATTTCCATACCTTGATTAACTTAAGCTTTCTATCAGCTCAAGCTATGCAAAATAAGGCACAGAAGCACTTACTAGTGCTGAATTTCATAGCATTTTAATGAAATACACACCTAAGTTAACACAGGAATTCCCAAAGTATTTCCTTTGCCTTCTGCAGAGAAATCATATATTGCTGAAGCTCCTTACTACACATAAATTTCTTGCTAAGTCTGACACAGCCAGTCAGGATGCTAGGCCTTCAGAAGCCCTTAGGTGAGTGTTCTCAGCAGCTGTTGTAATGTTTATTCCACTTCCTGCTCCCCCAGCTCTCAGGAAAATAACTGATTCTCAATATGAAATGAATTTATTTTCTCAATATGCAACCAGTCTTTCAAATGCGAGTGTTCCTTACTTGTCTTTGTTTGGACACTAAAAACCACAGGCTCTTTGTAGAAGACAGTCCTGATCCAGAGTGCAGCTTTTTACAGTGAACATGTTCTACCCCATGGACCATCCCCTCTTCTGTCAGTTTAAATGCAGCCTTACTTGAGCTGAAGAAAGAAAAGCAGTCAGACCTCTGAGGTTAAGTGACAGAAAGCAAGAGGCACCACTGCAGATCTAAGGGATACACCAAAGAGCATATGTGCACTGCAGAGCATGATGCATCTCCCACCTCCCACAGACTGGGAAACAATACAGCCACACGTGGTTCAACAGCAGTACTGCCAAAATTTGGGTTTCCATCAACATACTTGAAAGTCAGCTTAAATTACTTTTATTATTTTTGATGTTTTGGTAATTTCATAGGCCACTCAGAAATGAGACCAGTCAAAAGAACAAGAGTAATTTCAGCAGCTTCCAGATTAAACAAATCAATATCTCTGAGAGTGAAAGTGTCAAGAATATATTTTACCAGAGATGAAATAGAATTAATCTAGCTTTCTGTAGCCCAGAATGCTGGTGAAGTGTGATAAACAGTACTAAGAGTCTTCTTAAAGCTTTGCATTTAAGCTGTGAGATCACAAACTTCTTATTTCATAGAGTCACAGTACCCAATTTTTTAGTATTATAATTAAAAAAAGACTGTTTTGGACAAGAATTTAAATGCAAGGCATTGAATACCTATATACCAGTAGGTTAGAAAAAGGTACTGTGAAATCACGTTGAAACACACAGTGTACAACCAGGTACAACTAGTGTACAATCATAATATGATTTAGGTACAAATAATGTACAATCTACCTTTAAAGCAGAAACTGCATCTTTAAAACCCATTTTGCCAATTTAAAGAAATATTACTGAAAGGAAATTACACAGTATTCAACTTCCCCCCTCCATATCCCCAAACAAAGGCAATTAATTCGAAGACTCCTGTGACGTCTATATTTTGCTTGTGTACTATCAGGACAACCCTACCTTGTCTCATTTGGTTATTGGTATGTAGACATTATTAACATCTTTCCTGGACAATACCTAGTTCATTGTTAAGACTATTAAGAGAACATAGCATTTAATTTTTTTTTGTTATTAGATAATGAAGTCCTTGGTTTTCTTCTAGACAGCTGTATGGTAAAAGATTGGTACATCAATATACATGGCAAGACAAGCATGCTGCATAAGCATGCAAATATATTCAAAATAAACAAGTTATTTTTTCATCTTCCTCACAGAGTAAGAACTGCATTGTTATTACTCACTTAGAAGGAATGTGCTTTTGCAACACATTACAATTTCATGAAACTACGTTCCACTAGAAACTAAGATTAGAATGAGCTGGGAGTCAGGACACAATGATTTGCTATTTTTTACCATTTTAGGAAAAAGTGATTAAGGCTAGGCCACCCATAAAGTGACATTTAGAGACAAACTGCACAGCTGAAACCAGAAGAGTAATTCTCAACTCTGCTCTAAATGTAGAGAAAACACAGCACACCCCATCCATAAGGGACAGAGACATGTCACACAAGAAACAATGCTGCAAATTTATTTTCTTTAGTTTTAAGTTTTTATAACCTCAACTTTGTTTATCCCACATAAGACATTTCCAGTAATATGAGATCATCTAGTTCATCACAATTGCAAGAAAAATGAGGTGCATGGGAAGTACAAAAAAATTGAAAATACTCGCTTACATTGGATAGACTTAGAATACTGCTCAAAACAAAGCGGCTTTTCAGCTTTTTACCTTTGCATTTTGGAAATCTTCTCTGCAGTCCAAAGATAGGCAATGAATGGAGAAAAAAGCAACTCCAAAGCAGGTGGAATGAAGAAAGAGGCACATTATTAGGAGACACAAAAGAAACGCAAATCAAACGAGGAGAGACACTCTTCCAATGACAAAGTCCAGAGAAAACCATTCCCCAGGTGTTTCAGAAAGGCCTGCTGCTGTCCATCCATCCCAGCTGGGTGCATGAATCACACTCCATACTATTTAGTAGTCTACATTTATACTTGCAATAGAGAGAGCACCTCTTTTGTACTGTACATAATTCCTTGCCCCAAAGAGCTCACAATCTAAGTTCATACAAAAGAATGCATCAAGTAGCTGGATCGAGATCAAAGAAATGGAAAAGACAGGGAAATAATTCTATAAGGGATTAAAGTTGGGTTACATTACTAAATGAGGTAACTTTTGAACACCATTGGCAGTGATGTTCTTAAGACATTAAGTAGTTTTTCAGTTAGAAGGTCTTCTGATCATGAAAAACTGGTTTAAAATGTACAGAATGATGCATCAAAAGTAATCCACAAAAGTTTCTAAAAACAGACTTGTTGGCAAGACACAAAAAGGTTCAGATTTTCTTCACCTGAGACACTAACTTGTCATTAGGAAGATATGGATGTTAGAGAAATTCATATGTACATGTAACATTTGAATGTAAAAGGCTTTTCACATTTAAGCTTAAAATGTTAAATTCTGATTTAAGAATCCTGTTGCTATAAACACAGGCTTAACACTTAAATATTAATATGAAAATAGTGCTATTTTTAAAATGTATTTTAAACTTTAAAATAAACTATGGACAAGATACAGTTGGTTCAAAAGATCAACATTCTTAAACTGCAGTGACTCACTTTTCCCACTTTTTAAAAAAGGGAAAAACTTCTTCCCACTCTGTCCCTGCTACTTGTCAGTTATAAGAGAAGTGATCGGATCAACGTTAAGGTTTTACTTTACTTCGGGGGGGAGGTGGTCATTTGTTTTGCTGGGTTTTTCTTCACATTTCCCTATTCATATATAGTTTTCTGAAGTCAAAGCCTTGCACTTTAAATAATATTTATATGTCACCTTTGTGACCATTTAGCTATCATTTCTTAATCCCTTTACATGCAAACAGAAACCACCATCTTTCATGCAATTATGACATCCTTTCATATCAGAGAATTTTGCTTTAGATTATATACATAAACCATCTGCAACACTTCCATGATATTTGAAAAAGTTACAGTAGTAAAAATTCACCACAATTATCCAGTCTGTTTATGATAACCAAAACCAGAAATATTTTTCACCGTAACAGCATAACCAGTGGTAAATCTGATTTGACCTATCCTTTTGGAAGGGAAGCAGATGTTAAGAGAATTTCATTTATGCACAAAAGTGAGACAATGATGTTAAGGACCGCTAACAGAGGATGATTTATCTTTAATTTTTAAAGAAATTTTTGAGGAAATCAAACCAGATACTAAGCCTAAAGAACTATAAATATATTTGACCCAAGTCAATACTAACATTTACTTTTTTAGAAATTACATTTGTATTAAATTTGCTTACAGGAGGATACAAAAGGAGTATAGCCACAGATTACCAAGAGAATCACTTCCGATCAACAGCTAAAAATGAGGGAAGGAAATGGTCACAAAATTAAGATCAATCACTTCTTGTACATGCCACAAAATTACAAAAAATCACCTGCAAACCTGTAATAAAGCCCTCCCCCTTATTTGAATGAGTTTCAATTCCCAGGTAAAGATGAATCAACAAAATTAAAATATTGTGCTGTTTTATTGGTGTAAAAATCACACAATTGCTAGTTCTGATTCTGCAGAGATACATCCATGCAGTTAAACATCTATGATCCCACAGCCAGAAGAAGCCATTAAATAGAATATCTGCTGTTAGTCAGCAATTAATGCAAATTTACATATGAGATCAAAATGTGTGTATCGTACAATATACAACAAATCCTAATACAGTACATCAACCTGAAGAGCAAGATACACTCAAGGAACTCTGTTAATAGTGAAACCTGTCTATATGCCAGAGAAGTAAGGCCTGGAAACAAGATGACAGAAGGTACCCCAGAATTCCTAAAAAGAAAAACTGTTCATTTTTTGTTCTATATATTTTTTTTTTGCCAGGAATTCAAAGTTTATAGAGGTATTGACACATTACTTGACAATACAATTTGTTATAGTAAAGACTGGTGGATGTGATCTGCTATTAAAAGGTAACGTGTGAGACATGCAATTACAGGTGGTGCTTAGATAATGTGCAATTAATGTTTGGGACCTACACCCAACTCTTTTCACAAAGGGGAGAACTAAAGAAGACCTGTTTGATAGACTACCAATTGTGCCATAAATGCTTCTACACATGCGGCTGAATCAGGAAGATGAATGGATAAAATGTTAACACCTGGCAATCTGTGGTTACATAGTCTGTAATGTATGCAACAAAAATCACAAAATCCAATCCAGTTGATATGGCAAACAGCCTGCAAGAACTCTCCCAACCTGAGTAAACTGGGGAATTGCAAAGAGGCAGGCTTTCTAGAATCGTGAACAATATTCCAATTGTGAAAGGCAGCTTGGGAAGTAACATTGGCTGATGACAGATTAGTAGTTTGCCTCTTTTCTGGCACAGTAAAATAAATGCCATAGTGAATTAAGAGTTTACGTGCTTAAAATCAACTGATTAGCAACCCTCTTCTGCAAAGATGTTTCAACAGGAAAAAAAAAAAAATCCATGAAAAAATTCCAGTTGGAAATTTTGGCGACAAACTCCGCAAACTCAAGTCCAACAAAGATCATGGATGCCCACAGAGAAAGATGTGAGAGGCAGTGTCACATTCAAGAAAAAAGTAGTTCTTTTTTTTTTTCTCTCTGTACTGAAATTAAAATACTTAAAATACAAAAGTGGACAAATTGACAAAACAGAACCACAACATTTAATGTAGAATAGAGTGCATTGAGCTAGATGCATGGATATTTAAATAGGCCTTGAAACCACTACCCCTTTCAAAATTAGTAAATTCACAGTTAACGGCAGTAGGCTTAGAGGTGAGAGAAGGGTCGAAGTTGTTCCAGTTGGACTTCCAGGGAGATTCTCTCTTCAAGAACATCCTACAAAAGAAAGATTTTCTACTGACAGTCCACAGAGAATAAGCACTGAAAATTTCCTCATGCAATCAAAATCTGCTTCAGTTTGAAAACTAACTTATATTCTGGACTCTCGGTAACTCCTCTCAGAAACTGAATAGAAGACTGTCTGGCTGATGATGACTTATCATTGGAAATCAGTAGTTTGCTCCAAGGTGATGCCAAGTATTTTTTCCTTTCTTTCAAATCACCCAAACCCAGATGTGTAACCAGATGCAAATCCAACTATAATATTTTCAAATGATATCTAAATGTTAAGGGGATAAGCTCTCACCTGAATTAAGTGTATTAGAAAACTCACAGTTTTTGTCCCCAGTTTTTCCTCCTATGTGAATTTTATGCACCTTGACTCTCATGAACAGTAACAAGTGAAATTCAGGCTTGAGTTTTTCAAATGACCTAACTTCCATTCTAGACAGTATCATATTAATTCATATTTTCATTTAAGATATTTTAAAAAATTATCTTCACAGTTAAAATCATATATCTTAGGTAAGAAAGATGGCAGGCAAAAGACACTAAGCTGATGCCTACAGATAGCTCCAAAATAATGATAGCTGACCTAGACAAAAAAATGACTATTGTTGCACTAATTATTAAACTGCAAGTAGTTTTGTATTTCAGATTATTGTATTTGTTTAAAAACATTTATAATTTATAATTTTATTTAAACTTTAAGGCTTTTTTTTTCCTTCAGAAGAACACAAACCACTTCAGCTGCTCTTATCAGTACTGTTTTTAAAGTATGTGTTGAAGACAACAGGTAACCTAGTATTGATAATGTGAGGTAAAATTTTTTTGTAGCTACAAGCAAATCAATACATTGAAAAATAAGCATTGTAGCAGCAAAAGTGTGATTTGTAGTTTCACAAAGCTTGTAACAAATATGTATATTCTATGAGCTACAAAAATAGCTAAATATTTCATATCAATATCCTCAATTACATTTATCAGTGGATTGCAGAGATGCCTGTTACTGTGCATCACTAACATCTTGCTCTCTGAAGCTCTTCTCTTACACAGATAAAGACAAGGAATTACCTTTAGTTGCTGCTGTAGTTCACTGTTCAATCTGGCCAAAACAGTGTTGGTTTCCTTGTTACGTCTGATTGATGCCTGAATTGCCTTCTTGTCTTTTCCCACTGATCTGAGAAGATATTAGAAGTACTGTAATAAGTAATTTTGCCACTTAGCTGAACATCTCACTTATAGTCCCCATTCTTTAAGTGAGCAGAATCCTCTTTTCAAAATTTTTTTACTTGTTATACTGTTAAATTTTCCCACTTCTGTATGGCTTGATTAACCATGTTTGTTTGCATGGAAACACAGATATCTAAGTTTTATATATGCACACATAGTTGGTTTCAAAGATCACACAGCGCATTTTAAAAACTTGTCATTATCAACTTTCTGAAGGCCCATCACAGCGAACCACATTCATTTTCCTCCAAGTGACTACTGCAATAGACTAGTTTCATGTTAGGACACACAGACGGCACATTTTGGACTGTCCATAGCAAGCATTTAAAATTATATGCTACATCTTAATACTTCCACCACTTATTTCCAACATACTTGTGGAAGTTAAAGAGTTCACACTCCAAAATTCAAAATATCTTAAAAGTCTCCCAGCAGTAGCAGCTTTGGGATGACCATATTTAAAAACCAAAAACTTCTAAAATTGTTGAATTAATCTAAATTAAACACACTGAAATTGTTTGTAATTCCTGGAACAGAAAGTGTGTATGTTTAAATGTAAACTTTCCAGTAACAGATGTATTTATATACTTCTTGGGTTACCTAGGAATAGATGGCTGTGAAGCAAGAACAGCAGCTATGACACCTGTTTTCTGTGTATGTTCCTCAGCTTCAGGTCTTAGCTCATCTTCTGATTTTAATCTTCTACGAATAGGCTTCGGTGGTGGAGCAAGTGGGGTAGTGCCTTTACCCTGAAGAGGAAAACACAGCCCATTAATTCTCTGAAACTACATTTTATTTGGATTATAACCTGGTAGCTTGTGTTTCATATTTAGTTACTGAGGCAACTGAATTCACAGCCCATCAGGTATTTTCTGATGGAGATCTAGCTGCATTCTCATTTGGTCTGGAAAAAACCTCAACTACTAAATCCAGCCACATGGTGAAAGGCTAGGAATTTGCTTCACACTGACAAAGAACTGTTTCTGCAAGCAGAAAAACCACAGTACAAGTGAGTACTGTAAACACACAGCAACGCAGAACACGCTTTCCCCCCAGTAATTATATGTCTGTAATCAAATAAAAAGCTACTGTTAATCAAGTTCTGCACTAAACATTTTGATCTGTTTCAAAAATTTGAAAACTTACAAGTATCTTTTCTGCTGTCTCAAGAATAAATCTAATCATCATCATCTGCTGCAAAAATTCACCATACACATGCCTATTTGAAGCACCTACTAGGCTTAGAAAACTGGGTTCAAGTGGACACATATAAAGCTGCTGTTGCAAATCAAAACAAACATTTAATTTCATATACATCAGACAACTGCGCTTTGTTCCAAGGGTACTTTGCCTACCGCACTACTGGGGACATTTGCAGGTGCTTTGTCTTCAACTCTTCCATCTGCTTTGGCAACTCTAAGAGAACTTGCAGAATCAGAGGGCTTTTCAACCTAAAGGAATGTAAACTGTATTTAGAAATCTACTTCTTAACATATACTTCATTTGGCAACAACTGGAATGGAAACAAGTATGCTGTGTTCTGATACATGAATACAGTTAACACCTAAAATTCTAGTTCAATTCTCATTTAGAAACACATGTCATGAGGCACTGTATAGCACAAAAGAGTCTGTGGCCTGACCACAAACTGCTACAGCTGTTTCTGCTACTACAGTACCACCATTATCTATTTGTCAATGCCAAAGGTTAATCCCTCCAATGGAACACAATGTGACTGTTCCACATTGTCCTCAATGCAAAACAATCAGCAAGCTTAACTTAAGCAGTTTGCAGTGACATGTTGAGCTACCATAGCTGGTTTTGCAATGAGGTACATGGAGAGTGCTCAAATGGGGCTACTGACCTTCCTGAACAAGTGAAGCAAGACCATGCTGCTGACAGCTGGGACAACTTTAAAGCACAACAGGGACTTTTGCGAGTGAGGATGCAGAAGTGTCCCAGAGAACTTACAATCTGGATAAAAGCTACAAATTATCAAAGGAGAACATGAAGCAATTTCTGCAATAACTGCTAGCAATGACATTAATACTAATGCTTCCAAACTTTCAATTCCTATGTCTGTAGTAGGAAACAAGTTTTTTTAAAACATCTTTAATGACAGAAGAATGCCAGAGCTCTATTCAGTTTAGTTGTTTGTCCAATGACTTTGAAGAAAAGCAAATTAATGGAATTTTAGCAGATGTTTACAATACATGACAGTCATCTCCTTTATTAAGGCATGTCTTTTTTAAGACATTATTTTAAAATTACCAGCAAGTCATTTGGAAGACTGGCAAGGATTAGCAGAAGAAAGGTTTTTCCCTGTGCTGAGTCTCAAATTATGTGTATTACCAACACAATTATGTTTGTGCCCACGTATGCTAATAAGCATAAAAATCTTTTACATTACAATCAAGACCTGAGACGAAAAGAATTCCTCCTGCCTAGGCGTTTGGCAATTACTAAATAAGTGCAGCAGTGTGCAATGTAATTGCTTTCTAGAAATGGATTGAGACATCATAAAAGCCCAAAACAGAACAAAAAACCCAACAAACAACACACCACTGACAGAGAACAGCAGAAATATGTTTTAACAGTCTCATAACTGTTGGTGGTATTAAAGCAATTGACAAGATATTCCTTTCTACTCACCTGCAAGACTTCTGAGTGTGTTTCAATTTCATCTTCTTCCTCTTTGTTTACACCTGAAACAGCAAATGCCTCAAACTGGCTGAAGTCTGCAAAATTTGGCTGTTCTGGTATTTGCTGAGGTGAGGTACTGGTATGAGCTATTAGGCCATCAGCATCCACTGAGCGATGCACATGAGGACCTGTGCCCTGCAATAAAATAAAATATTAAGGGACAGAATGTTAAGGATTATTTGCCTTTTTAGTGGACAAAAATTGATGTACTATCAGTAGGACAACATGCATCTCATGCAAGACATACATGCAGAAATATTTAAGAGAAAGGAAGTTCAGATATGCTATTATCCAGGAAATAAGACCAAAGAGGGATGTAACGTAGCACTAGCTAGACTCATTCAACAATAAATATTTCTGCTGTGAGAGAGCCATTTGGCCTCTGGGGGCTTGATACAGACTTTTAGTCTAGTTTCACAGGGAAATGTGCTCATGTAATCACTGTGTGGAATATGTATGTCCTTGTACACTTCCTTCATCCCTTTAGAAAATTTCTGAATGCTTGTAGATGATTTCTGCATCAATGACTGACTCCAGTTGCTGGTAACTCAAGATTCTAACAAGTAGCTGCTGGTGAGAAACAACTAAAAAGCAATTTTATCTGTCCCATGTTGGAACTGTACAGCAGGTGAAGGGTTCAGCTGGCTAAGACAAAGAAAAAACCTTTTCAAGATGTGCTTTCTACCAAATCAGCTAACTGATATCACTCAGACTGCAACTGCAAAGATCACCAAGTCTGTGACAAGTGAAGAAGTGGAATCACTCCTTTTGGGGGCAGGTATATTATGTAAAGCTCTACCCTATGCCAGACAAATGGAAGACAAAGCCTTATTTTGCAAAACTTTGGAAAATGGCTCTCGCAGTCTTTGTTACAGCATATGCACTATACAGGAATAGACAATGAAATGTGAAAGGATAATTTTTCTCTCTTTCCCACAATTCAGAGCTCCAGAGCCACTCATTCCTCCTCAATACCTACCTTAATCCCTACCCATAGTTCCACTAGAAGCACTTATTTTATTTAGGAAATACTAACACTTGGCTGTAGTCTAGGTTTTGCCATCATTCACATCCTGGTGCTTTCAAAAATATGTCAAGCAATGATAATCACTTTAGAGATATATTAAAACTCAGTTACACAAAAACAATGCACCAAGTTAGAATATGATTTTTTTCGAAGTGACATCACCTGTGAAGGCTGTGGTCTTGGAGGCACTGCAGGCGGATAGGCAACAACTCCAGCCTGTTGCTGTCCTGTAAAAGACACATCACATTTGGCCACGATTGTTACTTTGTACATTACAGCGCTACTAAATTTTCTTAACTGTCAACACGAAGAAACATTGCATTTTGCCACATATTAACCTGTCATATTCGGGCCCATAATTGTAATTTCACCTCCTTTCAAACTGGCAAACAGACAAAACCAGGATTAATCAGAACAGGGATCTTGTACACACACGGTCATACTCTTCTGGTTTTAGTATCTTAGTCTTTAGGATTTTTTTACCCTCATTACAAGTTCTTAGTTATTTTCTCATAGTTTGTGATCCTGAATTTAAAAGTACTGACAAGTCAGAAGTCCAATAAAACTCCTTAAACAGAGCAGCAGAAGTGACTTTAATAATTTCCTTTTAAGTCAAATACTGAATACCCATCTTTAATACATGTGATTCCAAAGACTCCCCTTGAAAATTTACTGGCACATGCAATTCACTGGATGTGAGTGTACAACCAGAATACTATTTTCTGACTTTGCTTCCCACATTCATCCAAAAAACTACAATACCAGAATTCAGAATTGACTTTTAAATTAGCTACTTAAGTAAAGGGCAGTATAAATTTTAATACAAACAATATAGTAAGGATGACAACATTTGCAATTTTTTTAATTCAGAAGTGGTGCTTTAAAAATCAATATTCTAAATCATTCCTCAGAGAAAAAAGCACTGTCTGCTTCAGGAATACATGTGCTGAAAAATACTGTACATTCAGAACACAGCATATCTACCTGGGGTAACTGAAAAGGATCTGTTCATATCTAAAGATGACGACCGAGAATGAGAAGCGTGAGGCCTTGGAGGGGGTGGTGGTGGTGCAGTGTTATCTGGAGATGTTCCTGAATGTGATCTGCAAAACACATAAGCATCTGTAGTGATTTTAGGTGGCTACAGCAGAACTAAAAATCAAAAGTTCTTCAAAGAATACAATTAACAAAGTTTGACAGAGGTAAAACCCCCTGACTGCCAAATTAGTTTTAAACTTCCACTATTCTTTGATTTTACAACTGCTTTTATATTTCCATTTACTTAAATACCATTTATTCAAATTATTCTTGTATTATTACATGTAATTTATCGTTGGGAAACCAACGGCTTGATGCATATCTGAAACAATGACAGCTCAAGAACAGAGAATGTTAAATATTGTATTTCCATCCAAAAGATCGTCACTATAATTTTAAAGATGTAGTCAACATCCTGTTTAGGTTAAATGGGGTAAGTTTAATTTCATTAAAGTTTCTCTTGGATCTGCCTCCATGTATATTGAGCTCAAGAAGTATCACAATGTATGAGATTGCAATTTAATTCTCTGCCTGAAATTTTCCAAATCTATACACTTGGCACAATCTTCAGAAATTTGGACTCATTCTTAGGTAGGATCACCATCTAGTGGATATCTGTTGCAAATTCATGGAGAACACAAGCACAAAGGATAGAAGGATAAATTACTGCACTAAGTGCCATTTAAGTGTGATTTATTGTATACAGAACTTTTGTACAACTTCCTTTTAAAACCAGTTTGCAGAAGCTTCCTAACTAGTCTAATTTGAACAAGACACATTTATTGAATCACTGACCTGAATATAGCTGCTTCTTTATTCAACTCATGATAAAATCTTTTCTATGACTGACCTCTGCAACATTTTTCTACAACCATTGTAAAAAGTATACTAGGAGAGGTAAAGGGTACCCAAGTTTCACACAAAACCTGGAATTCCTGAATATTTAAGTCCAGGCACAAAGCTGAGTTATCACAATAGAAAAGTTTATTTTTTTAATATATTCTCTACGGCAATGCCTCTGTAATACTGTATAACTCTCCAGCTGATGAAATTAAATCTAATTATACTGACTCCTTGGGTCATCCCTCTAGCTAGTACAGTAAAAAAAAAATCCAAACACAAGCGGAATTAAAAATGGGAGAAAGTGGTTTAAGGAGAATTCCAAAGTATCATTATCTGACACAGCCATGTCAGTTTTTGCTATGTGAATTACAAAAAAAGTAGTCTTGACTAATGGTAAGATTAAGTACAATGTTATTCAGTGGAAGGAAGTAACAGAGTAAGTAGGACAACAAATTTCCTGTGTGCATACTGCCACAACTACCAGGTCAGGACAGAAGCTCCCTGTGCCTTAATGTGGGAACTCATCAGAAAGCTTCACTCATCTACACAAGTTCAGCAAGAGAACCTAACCCAAAGTCAAAGAGTTGAAACCATCATGTTGACAGTACAAAAACACACGTAAAAGCATGACAGAATCACATTTTCCATTAAGTAACAATGCAGGAAAGAATCTTTCAAGTTGCTGTACTGACAGGCAAATGGAAATCTTTCTTTGCTATTGAAGTCACCCTAATTATTTTTGTTTTGAAACTTACCCCTGAAACTGATTGTAAGATGGTTAATGATGTAGCTGGTTTTAATCCTATTCAGGCAGATTTAGTGGGAACAATTAGCATCAGCTAGTACAATACATTCTCTCATGTGAAATGATGCAGTTGTTGGTTTTGTGCTTGCATAGCTTTCTCCAATCCCTTAATTTACACTGGGCCTATGACTGCCCTTTGTAAGTCCATTATTAAAAGAGATGGAGTTACTGCCATGGTATTCCTAATTTGTGCTTAATTCTTCTTTTAGGCTATAGTGTCATAAGCTTCTTCTCCAATAATCCTAAATGGGTATTTTTAAAAATACAAAAAATTGGTTTCAAGTAACAGCATGGTCTCATGTGCTTACATTCCCGTGTGTTTAAGGGGAAAGTATTAAGATTCGGACTGAATGTGGAGCTTCACATGGAGCACTTGACTGGCCAATCTCAAATTTTTAGATAACTTTCCTTTTTTAATTTTCACTTTGCACACTAACAAAAGCAACATACATTGTTAATGCATTAGAAAACAGACTGTTTCCAGATTCCTGAGTGTTAAAGTTAGGAATCTGTTTTGCCACCATTTTATAAGCTAGTTGTCAAATAACCAGGAGCTGAGAACAGGCTTTTTTAAACACCTTTTACTTGGTTTTTTTCAGTTGCTACTCTACTGACCGTTGCCGTGTTACAGCATTTCCAATTTGCTCCGGATCTGAAGTGTAAGAGTCCGAACTGCTGTAACCATCTGCTGGGAAAAGAAACTACAGTTTCATATTTGCTTCGCATCATTAGCATACCCTAACAGACAGAAGTAACAGATAATTTCAAATATCCAATTCCTTTTGTTACAAAAATGTGTATGTCCTTGTATTGCTTCCCTGTAAGGTATCATCTAGTCAGGATTCAAAATCCTCAAGTCTGAATAATTGAAGGACGCAATACAAACCAACTCCACCCACCCAACACTATCAGTTGTTGGTTACTACTGGCATGTACTGAAGAATAAAGAACAATGGTAATGATGTATTTAAAATACAAAACCTAATTTTTAAACACTTGATATTCCATCACTTCAACAATGTAGTGAACAAGAGTAAGGGACATACAAGGAAAAAAAAGCAAGGGGCAGAACATGCCTGATTTTAGAAGTGCTGAAGGACTGTCACCAACCTCAGAAATCAGAAAAAGGAAAGGGTATGTACAGAACACAGATTAATGCAGTTGCTTTGCTACTACTGTAACTTCTGTACCTCCAAGTCTGGTGGTCAACCTTGTTTTGGACTGAATCTTTTTTAAAACATTCAGCTTTTGATTAAGGAAACCTACAGAAATGAAAGATGCTATTAAAGCATCATAGTCAGATTCTCAAGGACACCCTTACCCTTAGAAGCTCTGCAAAGCTTGAGGGTATTTTCCCCAGAAATGAGGAGCCTCACAAAAATCACAAGATGTATATGGAATGAAGGTAGATAGAAAAATTCACCTCGGGATAATTTATCACAAGGGCACCAGGTAAATCAAAGTTCAAGGTGGAAGTCACTGGAGCAAAGGGACTCAGTTGATTTGTTACCAGTGAAGAGGAAAATTCTACTCAAAAACATTAAGACTTTTCTGAATTACCCACTTTGAAAGGATTACTTTAACCTCCTAGGACACACAAGTTTTCAAAAGTGGTAAGACACGTTGAAGAATGTGTCCAGGCCACAGAAATGAGAATCCTGCAGAGAAGACTCTCCTGATCAGCAAGGCACATTCTTACCTGTCACATTTTTGATACCTTTTCTCCATAACACTGCAGGTACATAGTGCTTATATCTTACACTGCAATGTGGTTTGTTTTATTTCACTATGTTCTTCCTCTGAAGGAAAAACACTCTATTAAAGATTAAAAGATTAGACTACACTCAGATAAGGAAAAGGGAGCACCAAAAGGCTCTTGAACTTCGATCCTGCATACAGCACTAGTTCCACATTCAAAGATGTTTGCTCATTCTTTTGCATCAGAAAACTTTTTAGTAAAAATAAAACTGCTTGAAAAGTAAAACTCAGACATGGTCAGGACACTGGTTAGAACAAAGTGTGCCACTGAAACAGAGTTCAAGAGAAAAGCAAAACGTATTGCAAGATGGTATTTTCTGAATTCCTCCTGTATTATAAACGGATGAAAATACTTCTGGTCTTAATAAGGCAAATTATTTAAAAGAACGACTTCTTGAAACTTTATTTTTACTGAAGAAAAGTTCCCAACTTGAAGAAAACAAAAAAAAGAATCTCAGAAAGACTCCAGAGATTCATTCAGGCAACATATAATCCTGGACCTCTCTTAATATTAGACAAGTGGACTAATCAAATCAACATAATGCAACAGGCTTTGGGCACAGAAGATACTGGAAATTGAAAAGGCTATTAGAAGGAAATAAACATTTGAAAAGCTGTACTAAAAATGGAATGTCTGTAGCATTTGCTTAGTAGCTAAACCAGATGAGAATTTCCTGGAAATTGTGGTCAACACATTTTCACTCTTTAGAAAACATGTTACATGGCTCTGAGAAAGAACAATCAAATGCTTCTTAGAGAACTCCACTTTATCTACATTGAATTTTTCATTCTAGGATTGAAAGAGAGAATAGGAAGATGGAAAAGAACTGACAAAAATAATTTTCTTGAGCACATAGGGTAGGAAAACAACTCCAGTGACATCAGTAGAACTTTCATAATTAATACCTCTAATACATACTCTATATCAGAAATTCTTAGGATAAGTTTATCTCATTTTAGAGCTGCTACCACTTTCCTTCACTGAGGGATATATCAGATCTACATTTTGTGTAATGTAAGAAATGAGACCAGAAAGCACTTTGATACTTACTAACTGTATTTCCAGACGTAAATTTTACAGATGAACTAATTTTATTTTCTTCTGGGAGATCTGATGGTTTCACAAGTAGTGGACTAGTAGGGTTAGCATGATCTAGAGGGAAAAAAGAAATCTAGATAAATGAACTTATTCAAACTAGCCTTTATTTCTGGCACGAAAAATTTACACTGGTTTTCTGCCCTTATCTAAAGTGCTGCACTCAAGACTAAAATTGTATTTTAACTCAGAAATAACACTATTACAACGTAAAACACCAATTTCTCAGCATTAAGAGCTGTGAAATTTCAGCTATTTACAAGGCCAAAGAAATTTTAAAAGAAGCGTGTCGTCAATACTATTTATTCACCTATGCTGAAGACTCTGCATGAGTTCATGACTTTGGAAATACTGGCACACAATTGAAAACTAAGACACCCCCCTCTATTCCTTTAAGAAAATTTATCAAACCACCTTGCTTATTATTGACCAGAGTAAAAAAAGGCCTGCCAATATTCCCAAATGCTTTCAAGTTTCAAAATAATAAATGCAGTATTTCTGACCACAGAAGAACAAGCTTTATGAATGCAGGTTATGATCTCCATCTCCAGTTTCCTTCAGTATTTAACAAGGAAACCCAGACATTCACCTGTAGGTCTTATAATGATGCTGAACCACTCTCCAAGAAACATTCTGCTAGAGATGGTAAAATCTCACTGTAGCAAATGGCCAATTCAAGCTCTGCACTTATCTGAACAGCAATTCTTAACTCAGTAATGATGCTCGTTACAACTCCAGATTTATTCATCCTTGGTGAAGGAGAAAAGTAAGTACATTCAAGGAAGTAAGGCCAACTCTAACTGTATGGAACTTTCCAAATTAGCAACAGAAAATGTCCTACCACTTCCAGTTCTTTTAAGCTCCATTTCCTGCATGTGGATTTTGCTTGGAGTCATTCTTATAGGAACTGGGTGCACAATTGCAGTGTCCTGTGGAAGAGATCACAGTTAGGTCAACCTAGCTTAAATCACTCATAAAAGAGTCTCTGACAGCGAGTCTTTGACATGTGCAATGTCAATTCTTAACAAAATTTCACAGATTTAGTTTATTTGCACAGTTCCAGGAAATTGAATATACCCAGGAAATCAAAGCTCTCTAAGCTGTAGACTCTGTAATGTTAACTTAGCTACTTATAAGGGCGCTACAATATGTTTCTACTAACAAGGTAACTGCAAGTAGGACCTGAATTTTACCAGCTTTCCACCATTTCTAGCATATCAGTACTCTAGTATTCTGAGCACTTGTTAAAAAAAAACAAAAACCAAACCCAACAATTTAAATCTTGACTTCTCAGCTTTACTCAGAAAATAATGGCCTCTCTAAATAGTATGAGTAATGCTCAATGAAATAGGTACTTTGTAGTAATTTCAGACATCTTCTGGTGTCTTTAAAATAGCAAAAATCTAAACATCAGTATAATAAGCTCTAAGCTTCTAGAAAAGCATTGGCCTTACACTTAGTCATTCAGACAAGGATTTGTGTTTAAATGAAAAGGATTGTCTATAAAGTGCTTTAGTTTGAACACTGACAGCAGACAGCTTAAAAAAATAACCTCAAAACTCAGAAGCAGACTAAAAATAGGGCCATGGCTGTCTGAGGTTTTTTACTATAATGCATATTCAAAATATATGAATGGGTGGGCCAATGACAGCACAAGAACACCCCCAGATTATATTATATTCTATCCTAGAAATAAGAAGTTTCAAAACTACCTTTGTATCAGAAATTTAATTTGTTCTGACTATTAAAGTAGCTCAATTTCACTAGGTGTAATACATCTACATTGGTATTTTCTGAAATTATTTCAATTCACTACCCTTGCTGCAAGCAAAACCACTTTCTAGTCACATCTCAAACATTTTTGTTGTAGGAAGCTTTTAGGAGTAGTTACTTCTTTAAAATATACTGCTTTTTCTTCCCTCTCTAATGAGATTATCATGCAAAGATCACTTTTACTGTGGCTGCTTCAGACCTCCACTGTACTCTAATGTGCAGCTGTACAGAAGTCACGCCTCAAATAGTTAAATGGATTTTATATAATTTACATCATTAACCTAATTTTACATAAACAACATGTTACCAACTTTGACTTACAAAAGGCATACTGTGCTGCAATACTAAGGGACAGATGCACTGTTTTACTCTTTCCATTTATGTTTTACCTCCAAAGCTAAAACATACCTCCAAAGCAGCTACTTTTCCAACTAAAAAAGACCTGGTCTGTGAATTTACTCTTTAGACAGTTATTAACAACTGCTCAAGAAAGCTGTTTTTCTCTTCTCTGTGGAACCAGTTGTTCCATAAATCATTCCTATGCATCACTGCTGAAACTGCTAAAACAAAGTCTGCCATCAGCTAACTGAAAATTTGTCATCATTTGTTCTTATTTTAGTATTGAAAACAGAGACTTTAACCCCAAAGTCTGTTACCCTAGCAAGTATCAAAGATGCTCACCAGTCTTTTCTAAACTATATAAGCATTTCAAGAAAAGAACTCAAGGATGTGATCAGCCATAAAAAAATTTTGCATTCCCAGTGGATTTATCTATATACATACACACAAACACATATACTCTATATAAGAGTTTTTCATACACCATCACTGCTCTACTTTTTAGATTACCAACATAATGAAAAAATTCAAACCTCAGGTTTCTGCCATCTGCTAATTATGTGTGAAAATAAATTACTGTCTTATTGCAGAAACAAGACAGTGATAGTCAAGCAATTATACATAGCAAGTAACAACTATGAACTAATTTACATCATGTTTATCTCATTAAAACATAAAAATCCAGTATATTTGAAACAAAAACCATCTCAGATGAAAGAGGGCTGGTTTTTGCTTTAAGTAGGACATTTTCACTTGTTTTAAATGTTTATTAAAGGTTAATTCTGAGCATGAGGAACAGTGCAGTTTGAATTCTAGCTTACAGCATCTAGAAACGCTATTTCTAAATGAACATCAGTGTTAACTTTGGGACTGGAGCACTGATGTATTGAAAATTATGTATATTCATGTATTCTATCTATTCAGAAGTGACAGGTTTAATACTAAGAGCAGTTAAATGTGTATTATCTGCACCTATTATATTTTGTTACACAATCAAATGGACACCAACACTGTAATTAATTAAATTAAAATGGACGCTTGGTGCTAATTAAGTCATAAAAAAGCAGGATGAAAGCAGCAGCTAAATACTGCATTTCTAATACATTTCAGAACTGCTTTAATGTCACATGCTGTAAAGCTTAAAACCAGCAGAACTTGAAACACTGTAGTGTATTTCTGGCTCCCAAACTTGGCAAGATATTTAAATACATAATCCTTCAGAGCACTCCTCACTGAGTAAAGCCTTAGAACACCACAGGTTTAGCTGGAGAGATACTGAAAGCCTTATTAATAAGTAACTTGGTAAAAACATTTGGAATATGAAACACCACACCCATAAAAGCCCAGTAGCTTTTTTTTTCACAGCAGTTGGCACTGGTTTTGTGCAAATCAGGCTCTGCAACTCAGAAAACCCCAAAACAACACTGAAGACAAAATCTACAACAGAACTTGTTTATCATAGGGAGTGGCCCTTGCATCAACTTGCACTTTTTTAAAAAAAAACCCATTATGTTTAAATTCTTCGTGTATGACATATTTTGACAGAAGTGTTGCATTAGGTCAAAATCAACAGGAAAAGCATTCTTTGCAATCACAGATTAAACAAGAGCAGTACTAGAAAATTTATATTCCGAAAATAAGCAAACAAGCTATTTGCCACCATTCCCCAAAAGCAGTCCATGGAATCATGCATAACAGGTAAATACAATGAATGGAAATTCAGTGTTAATAAAATTAATTTCAAACAAGCAAGCTAAGTGATTGACTTACAGGATCAGCTGGTGCAATGTTAGAATCAAATTGGGTCAGAGTTTGTGAGCTTGAAGAGCGTTCGCTAAATGTCTCCCACTGCTGAACAGACAGAGGAGAGAAGTCAGCATGATGAGGAAGATGAGAGTAAAAGATCACTGAGGAGATTTAGCATAGTAGTTCAGAGGTTGCACTGGAAAGAACCATATTTGCACAAGAGAATACTCCACTTGGGAAGCACACTAATATATATACATGTATAAAGTAATCCTATTTCTGAGATTGTTGTGGAACCAAGTTTGTTATCAGTCTAATATCAATCTTTATATTCACATTTTGTAATGAAGATACAGGTGCAAAGGCAACCCAGAAGTACCTTCAGAGTTCATGCTTGCCAACGAACATCATACAAGTAAAAGAACTGGCTAAGCAGTTCATATAATTTAGAGATAAAAATCAGAGACACGTTGTGTGCATTTGTACCCATCAAATCCACAGAAAGGTTCCTCAGCTCTGTAGCTGCTAAGTTTCAAACTTATTTAATAAATGCTGATTTTCTTACAAAATCCCAGATAAATGAGCACTCAGGAGAGTACTCCAATCACACCACTTTAGCTTGCCAGTGCAACCCCTGAGGAGTGATTCTACGCCATAAAAGAGCATTTCCACAAGACTAAATCACTGACAAGGCAAAGAATTAAATCCAAACACACTGTTGATTGCTAAAAGCAATTCAATCTCTGAACAATTTTATAAGATATGGGCAATGCTGTATCAATACATGACTGTCAAGAATCCTCATGTAAACCGAGTAAGTTATAGCCACAACTGGATCAACAAAACATTGAAGTACATAAAATTAATCTGTGATCTGGAAACCAGATTAAAAAAGTCACAAAGAGAATGCTAAACCTCTTATATTTTGGTAAAATAACAAGTAAATATTAAGCAAGTTTTAAACACTACAAATACAAGTTTCAAAAATTAAAAATACAAAATTTTTAGCACTCAGAAAATTTGACAAAAAATTATGTTTGTTATAGTTGTGGACATAACTTGGGTGTTGGACTCTATGACCCTTGGGGGTCCTTTCCAACTCAGAATATTCTCTGTGTCATATTCTTGTCCCATGTCTATAGGTAAATCAATCTAAATGATCCCAGAAGACACAAAACAAACTATATGGTGCTAGCCAACCTAATCTCATGTTCTCCTCTGCACCAAACTACATTCAGTGAACAGACTGTATTGGAAGCAAGTCTAAAACAGTTATTTCAGAAATAATTTCTTAAGGAAATTCCTAAATAACTGTTTACAATCAGATTAAATGACATTCAGAAAAATATTAACTAAATTTGTAATTGCTGTCACGTGTGGTAAAGCTTCTTGTAGAGAAAGAGCTTTGTCTCCTCACTTAAAACTTATAAATGAGGGCAAACATTATGGAATTCTATTCATATGAGGGTGGGTTTCTTTTCTGGTTATTTTTTGTTGTGGTTTTCTGTTGGTTTGAGGGTTTTGTTTGTATTTGTTTTTAACACAAAACTACCCTCTTCATGGACAGAACCTAACAAAACCTTTTGAGTAAGGATTCCCAACTGTTCTGTCCCTGTTTAACACTCCCTGTATTAAACAGTTCATCTCTGTGTCACTCCACCCCTTCATGAAGAGGCAGCATTCAAATTGTTTGGAGCTCTACAAACCTGTTAGTGAGCCAGTTTTTACTAAGTCAGAAATTTAACTGCCAAGTTCTGCCAGCCTTTCTCCTGATTTGGCCTCTTGCATTTGCACAGCTCCTCATTTTCATGAAACATATTAATATTTATCTTAGGTCTACCACTACCCTTCTAAACTTGATTTGGCCAGTGGCTTCCCAGTTACTAGTGAGACTGGCAAACATACCATTTCATTGAAGAAATATTGTTAATTGTTCCAAAAATTCCATAGGGCACACAGCACTTATCTTACAGTTAAGATAAATGGTAAAATATTATTTGTTACAGATGGATGCTTAATCTCTTTTACCACCCTGCTCTGAAGCCAAACTACAGGTACCTTTATTACTTGTCCTTGGGCTCCCTAGCTTTGGAGGATCTGAAGTAGCTCTTAAAACATTGGTTTATTCTAAGCATTGGTTTATTCTAAGACACAGACAGATAAATACCAACACCTGCTCTAGGAAATATGCTGTTGTGTTCTGCCCTGAAATTCTACCAGAAGCCAGCTACTGCTAATTCCCCTGTTAACAGAAAGGTAAATATATTGAGAAACTACTGGACTGCATCTCAAACACTGCAACATTTAAAAGCATTGACAGGGTAAAACTCATGCTAGCTAAAGCTGAAGTATTTGTTCTGTCAAACTGCAAAAATGTTTTTAAATTAGTTTCAAAAGGTTAATTACTAGAAACTAAAACTCACAGCAACCTGAACCACTATGAATAGGACACCAAGGCATTTGAAACAAGGTCTAACAGTTGTGAACTTAAAAGCAAATCACCATATCTGTGTTAAAGCTAGTATGAGAGCTGCATGACACTTGACAGTTGTCAACAAAAAAATTGTAGTAGGCTTTTCTGTTATTTTAAGCTTTGAAAACTAAGTGCTCAGCCTTGAGACTTAGATGGAAAAGAAATCTTAAGTAAGAAAGAAGAGATGAGTGAATAGATGAGAATGTGAAGCATGTAGTATATCCAAAGTTAGGCAGATGTTCATGTTGCTCTTTATTCTGAAGTTTTAAACTGATGCCTTGGTCTATACTTGGGAGCCTCCAGTAACTGGGCCTGGCAACTGCATTCTATAAATCAACAGTGAGCTAGAAAGAAGAGAGTAACCAACAGCTTTGAGACTAACAGAACGAGACTGCCTGGAATGACAGCTAATACAAGGATGCAGAGCTTTTACAAGCAATTCATTTGTTGATGATCCTTATAAGAGGTTGAAAGAGGAAACAATTAGACTGGTGCCTGCAGCAATATAGGAAATTTTTTCATGGAATTAAAACCTTGAGGACTTTGACCTGACTCATGCTGAAAAGAAAATGCCAAGAAGAAAGAAACATGCACAACACCACATCTGAAAAATCAGGAATTCCTTTGGGTTAGAACAAAAAACTAAACATTTAGTTCAACTCTTATTTTAGTATAGTTAGTATCCAGTAGTATAGCTACTGTGAGAATTTTCCAAACCTCTTAAGCTATAGTAGACTTTCAAAAAGAAAATGCCACCTTATTTCATGTGAATGGATAGTCAGTTTCATAAGTCAAGATTCTGGCTGACAAAATGGTAATTCACTTTGTTGCACTAATGCAATTACCCTATTCAATGGGTTTGAGTTGCATTAGATACTGAAGGAATCTGTTCAATTATGATGCAGGTACGAAATGATTAGCTTATTAAATCTTTATTGAAAACAGCAGGGAATGTGTCTGGGCAAATTTTAATACAGATGCAGACATTTGCAGTTTTTTAGCAACAACTGAATGAATCTGCTCCACCTCCCTCTTAAAACACAGCTTCCTACTAGCAGTCTGAGTCACTCTGTCAAACAGAACAACTAAGAATCACTAAATATTGTCCAACGCTTTTTAGTTTGGTAAGGATGTGACTATGAGACTAGCTTTGCCTTTACAAGGAACAGCAGACTTTATAAAGTCCTTCCCTGTTGAGAAATCATGGAAGTTTCCTCTGCTCCTAACTTTAATCCTAAAAATGTGCTTATTTTCTGCTTCATGCTAATTTTCCATTGGTTTGTCTAAATCTTTTACTATAAATTTTCTATTCACTTGAAGTCTAATGAAGAAAGAAAAAGAACCACAAAAAACTCTTTTAATAGAAGGCAATACGCAGCTACTGACAGAACTATCTTACACGTTAAAACAAGTTTTCAATTGTTATTGAGTCACAGATAATAAAAGTTTTCAAAAAATAATTTCATTCTTTTTTCCCTTTTTTCCTTTCTCATAAGGAAAAGTAAGCCTACATCATCTTTGTACATGGCTGCAGTCAGAACGGGATCTGAAGTAGCTCTTAAAACACTGGTTTATTCTAAGTCAGAGGCAAAAATGTTAAAAGAGTAACAAGAAAAATCTAGGAATCAATCCTTTACAGGCCTTTTAAGCAAAGGACATTTGTGGGGAAAAAAATAATATAAAAAATACTGCTTGCTAACTTTACTTTCAAATTCTGACAAAATACAGCTCTACTGCAGAAGACTGCTTATATAACATATATGCTCAAGTATGATGAAGCAGAAGTATGTAACAGTAGCAATTAAAGATTTAAATAAATTTAGCCCATGGCTGGCTTCAGATCCTACTAAGTCTCTGCTTCTGAAAGAGGGTCATGACTTCTCTATGTTACTGGTGATATTTCAGCCTCAAATCACCCCCAGAAGTAAGTCTCAATGTCCAGATCTGTCAGAAACTTATGCTGTAGTTTAGCCAAAGTGTCTGCTAAAAGAAGTTCTTCAGAGGTAACAAAAAACTCCAACCAAAAACATGCCCTAAATGCAAAAAATTAGGAATTGATTCAAATTTTCCAAAACATGTTATGAGATACATTTTGTGATTAATATAAAGCTTAACTACCATTAATAACATTTTAAATAGTATTGCACAATGAGATAGTAAAACCAGAATGAAAACTTTTTTTTTTTTTTTTGCATTTTAACACAGAACCTTCTTGTATCTATTGTCATGCTAACTGTTTCATGATTTGTGATCAGCAATTCACTTATGACAAATTATGGACACACACACACAATTTACTTATTGACTGGCAGTGAAACAACTCTTAGATAAAAGTGCTGACCTCACTGCTCTGATTCAATTCTGGCCAGGTCTGGTTTAGGGATGGCATTGATGGAGACTTGCTTGGAGGTGCTTCTGCTGGAGAGCCAGAGTAACCTACCTCACCAGTCTGTTCCCCAACTTCTGAAACGATAGGAATCACTATGAACAAAAATCAAAAATTGCATTCACTTTATTTTTAGAAGAGTTGTTCACACCTCATGGAAAGTACAAAGTACCCTTTAATTTAATATTTTTCAAGTAAATACTTAGCAGCAGACAAAACCCAAAAACTCTCATTAAGTTAAATACTGTAAAAAACTTTTTATCAGGTACTACTCTTATTTTAAGAATGTTTCTTAAAAACAGACTTTGAAGATAACTCTGTACCATCCTATCCTCCCAGTACTCAGCCTTTAAGCAGCTTTTTCAGATTTTGTTTATATATATAATTAAACAGTTTTTCTTACAGCATGAGAAAATAACTTCACACTAGTGTTTATTACATCATATCCTGCACTGAGCATTTCATCTTACAGAATCAAATACTTCCTTATATGAAAGGTCAGAGCAAAACCAGTATCTCAATGCAAATACAAAAAAGTATGACAACAGATTAAGAAAATCATTCCCCCTTAGACTAGTCCCCAAACAAAATTAGTTTCAAGCCTCCTTACTAAAACAGTGGTGTTTCCATTCACATTTTGCAAATTGAGTAAATCTAGTAGCTGTCACATTGCTACTGTCCTTTGGCACTGTTCAGTTTTCTCTTGAAGTAAATCTGAACAGCAGATCAAACATTCTGTCTAACACAGTATAAAATCCTGCTTACAATGTCTCCTATTCTAGATATCACAATGCAAGCTAAAGCATTAAGACCCTCACAAAACCTGAAAGTTCAAATTACAACTGCACAGTGTACAAGCAACAGAAACAATTGAAAAAGTGACTGATAAGTAGTGAGACATATTAGCATGATGTCAGCAGTCACACAGAATTAAACTCCAAACAAGACAAAATACTAAACAAAAAGTTTAATTAAACTACCATTAGAAAAGACTGCTTCATGGGTATGTGATTGAAGATGATTGTCACAAGAGTATGTTGTATCAAAACCTCTTTGAAATGTACAAAATTTACTGGTTTTAGGTTCCTAAAGAGCTGAACTCTGCAGCCTTCTCTTCTGCTAAGACACGACAATTTTCTGCCTGCTAATTTTCATTTAGAATAAGCTAATAACAAATCCAATGTCAAACTGAACTGAAAACACTTGAATAGCCAGTGGTGACCACCTGTACCTCTGAAAAGTAACAACCGATTATTGCCTCCAGAGATCTGCCAGGGACAGCAAAATACACAGCCAAAAACTGAAGATCAAAAAGAAATTAATTGTGCTGAGGTCAGATGTAACTGCCGTGCTACTACCATGCAAAAAACCACACACTGAAACCAGCAACTCTTCAGTTTCAAAGGTTACGTAAACATCCTTTAAATAGCCAGATGTGAGGCTGTTTCCATAACATTTACAAAATGTTTCCAAAATTGTGCCGCACCTAGCATCTTGAATTGTTTCCATTTAGGTAAAGCAATATAAATAGGTTACATTGAGGTGTCAATGTTACCAACTAGTCAAGCTGACATGCAGTGGTCATTGCAAACAAAGTAATAAACTAAGTCCAAAATATAACAGTGGCAATATTTTGGAAATACATATCACATGTTAATTGCTCTGAAGTGTAATAAGAGTAAAAAGTTTCTATTAAGTTAAAAACCTCAAAATTCTTGTTTTTCTTACAGTATTCTATATAACTGAACTAATTTCCAGTGTTAAACACAAAGTCAAAAGATAAGGCTGAAAATTATTATGGACAGACTATGTAGCTACCTGTAAGTCAAAGAGTTCTGCAGATATCTACACGAAACACACCTACAACACTCTATGGAAAAATTTAAAGGTTAAAGTCATTGTGTAAGACATAAGGCATGACAGATTCTTTTTATTTACAAAGAAATGGCATTGTGGCACCAACCCAAACAAAAATTCAGAGAGAAGTAAAACTTGTTTTTCAGCTTTTGTAAAGGTTGATAGCTTTTAATAACTGAGATAAAATTGAGTTTGAAGGAATTACAATTCTGTAGAGATGTACTGCTCTACTAGAAAAAATGACCAACTACACAAATGCTTAATTATACAGTAAGTCTGTGCCATGTGAGAGAAACACATATCTCTAGTTATGAAACCAGATGTAAAGCAAGATCATATCTCAAACAGGTTTGGAACACCTGCAGCTGGTCACATACTGGATTCACAGGGCTGATGAGGGAGAGGCTGTCAGAGGAGCTCAGGAGATGTCTTCCTTTGCTGGCTGAACACAGCCCAGAGGGTGCAAGGAGCCCTCTGCTACTCCTTCTTCTGCTGGCCACTAGCTCAGAAGTCAAAATGGAAAAACGCAGTACTATTCAAGTGCAGAGGATAAGTGAAGAAGAATAATGGGAAACTTTCTAACAAAAGAACAGGATTAATAATGGCACTGTCAATGCTTTTGAAATAAAGTTTGCGATCTTGCACATGGGTTTAAAAGACATTCAAGGAATTAATCTTCAACAGTTTGATAACACATTATTCATACTGAGGCATGCCAGCAGAAGATCATCAGCCATTTCTTTCTTTGAGAAAGAGTTATACCCATGCAAAAAGTGTACTGAAAAAGACACTCTGGTGTCATACTTTAGTTTCTATTTCTAAGACGATTTTGGAAGAAAGCTTTAATGAAACACAACTTTTACAGGAACTGAAATGAAAAATTATTACCAAAATTTAACTGCTTCATCTTTCTAGGCTGATTTACAGTTCTTAAGATGAATTCCTGTAATTCATCATGCCCAGTAGGCAAAGCTATCACTAACTTTTAAATCAGTAAATGTACGCTGTTGTAACTAAACACAAAACTATAGCCACATCAATAACTTCATCTGAAGTACTTTATTCAACATAGACGTTTTGGCAATAAATCATGTTACATGCTAGATAAGATCAGCTATTTCCAATGCTGCTGACCCAAATAAATAAAATAAAATAAAATAAAATAAAATAAAATAAAATAAAATAAAATAAAATAAAATAAAATAAAATAAAGCTAATTGGATAAAAACCCACAAGTTTGCAAGAACTTCAATTTTTCATTGTAGCTTTTAATAACCACAGATTAAAGTATCAGATTTTCCTATTTTTTAAGCTTACATAGCAAGGTAAACTTTTAACATTCACTAGAACAGGCTAACTTCCCTTTAATACCAAAGGGAAAAACTTCTAAAAGCAAGTTGCCTGTAAAATGAGAACAAAAAACATATACACAATATTTCTGGTTTAGTGTCTGATGTATAAAGTTTCCAGACAACTTTAAGTGAAATCTTATACCAATAACAGATCAAGACAAATATAGCTGTTTGGTGTGGAGTTTTGGGGGGTTTTTTAGTGTGTTTTTGGGGTTTTTTTAGAAACAATAGTTTATACAAATAAGTGTTATTTCACTTCCTACCAAGATTTTTTGCTTGATCACCACTTTAACACAAAAATGGAGAGAATGGAATGGTTTTTGACATTTGCTAGGTTTTAGCCCAATTAACTGCAGCTATTTCTCACAAATGTCTTCATCATAGCAAAATGCTTACTCATACTGAAAAGATTTCAGCAGCAGCTCTTTTTAGAGACAACCTACTCCCACAGAAAATAGGTTCATTATTAAGGCAGAGATAGTAAGAAACACAGTATCTAGTTTAAGAACTCATCCACAATTTTGAGATTAAAGTCTCAGCCTACAAACACAGTATGAAAAGAGTTCCCTTGAAGTATTTAGTGAAAATAAATTTCTAGCAAATCATAGTACCCGTGCACTCAGAATATAACCTGACTTTCCAAGCAAAGACTGCTTGTTAAAAAGTAATCCAAAGCAATTTTAGAATACTCAGTTTCCTTTATCTATTTTAAAATAGAAAAAATGAGATGGTCACAGACATCCTCTTTTTAAAATGCCACTTTAACATGGAACGGTAGTTTGTTTTTCAGTTACGGGACTAAGTTTTTGGCACATATTAACAAGGAGATCTCATACATTCAGTGTTTTTTCTGGGAGTACCAAAAGGTAAAAGGCAATGCACAGAACAACTAGGTGCCCAGACAATGAAGGATAAATCTGCTTACAAGTCAGGAGGTGAATTTCAAAAAAAAGGGCCTGTGGTACTGATCCTGCATTTTTAAACACTTATCCGGCCCTTAGCATTGAATCTGGGAATATTTTTAAAGTACCTTTGATACTTAGAAACTCATATCATATTTTCATAAATGAGGGTGAGTAGAAAGCATACTCATTTGAAAATGAGTCTAAAGTATAGGTGGCTTGGGAAATTGAAATACAACAGCTGGTCATGAATAAAAGCCATACTGTGACAATTTTGTTTTCCTTAACCTTTAAAGGACACAGTCAGTATTTCTAAATGGAATAATGTATGTGTACTTCTCCTAAATAACTGCCCTCTACAGAATTATGTATATGGTCAAATTAGCTTTGAGCAGTAAAACTTCTAAAACTTGTACAATGCTTTAGTTCATATTGACAAGTGCTTTCTGTTCATGCAAACATGTGTCTGCTGTAACAATTAGACCATAATTTTAAAATACTGACATTTGTGTTGAACCCGTATCTTACCCGTTGAGTCTTCCAAATCAATCAGTTTGGGCATTAAACTTTCAGGTAACTTTTCTGGCAAATCATACCCATTCTTCCTAGCAACTACCAGATGAAATGCAGCACAGAACTCGTCCAATGTCAGTGCACCATCTTTATCAAAATCTGACAGTTCCCTAAGAAGGAAAACTTCATGTAAATAAAATTTCTACAACTTATTTTATTTCCAAAAGACAGGCTTCCATTTTGCTACTTGGATGAGCAAAGTTTATTGTTCCCTTTATCCTACTAAACACTTCATATTATGGCTACATACTTTACTCCTCAAGATGATGAGCCTTCATTAATAACAGCTTACAGCTCATTTAAAGTCACTTTTATCTCTCCTAGTTTTTAACGCATTTAAGACAGTACTACACAATATTATTGGCCTCAGATTTTTGGCACAGTATACTACTGATATTATAGTGCTGAGGCAACATGATTAAATGGGAAATTACCTGAAATAGAAATCATTACACTGAAAGAAAGATAGCACCTGCCAAGGTAAGTCGTCATTTCATGACAGTATGCAGTGATGCAGTACAAATTCCAGAATACAATGAAACAGATTTGCCCAAACTCAAAGCTGAATTTGTCACCATGTAACACAAATTTACTTAAAAATGTGTATGTGTACATTTCATTTAAATTTACTTACACAAAAATGAATAAATAAATATAGATAAGGAAATAATTATTTAAACACATTTTTAACAATAAAAACCTTGTATAAATTGTTTCTGTCTCTGAAGAGTTTGAAATTTTCTCAAAGTGCCTTGTAAATAGTACCAGCCCAGGCCCATTAAAACCCACTAAAGTAATCCTGACATAAATATGACCAGGACTGAACATACTAGCGTAATTTTACTTAACAGTTTCTAGTAATTAATTATTAGATGTCCATCAGATAGCTGTCAACTTTCTAACAATTTATCATTAATTTATTATTACTATTATTTTAAATAATCACACTTACCAAATATGAGAAAGTTCAAGAATAGGTAGTTTTGACTTAGTGAAAAATTCTTTAGCTGCAGATCCTAAAAAATGACAACAATGATTTTTAATACTTAAGGTAAGTGAAATCATTAGAAGACTCAGACCTACTGTAAAGGTGATGAGTTATTTAGTAAGGGTTCTGGGGAAAATGGCACTAATTACTAGGGTTAAATGAGGGAAAGAGACAAATTAGTTTCTAGTCTTTCTTGACTTACACTGAACTGCAGTAGAATATTATCAGCAAAATGCACAACTTCCTTCAAAATAGTATGCAAGCCTAAGTACAAAACAAAGTATTCGTAACAGAACTGATGCACCCACAATTATATTATGTAAAGAATAACTCACCTGGTATAAATCCATTTAGATCAGGTTGAATGGTTTTAAACTGATTAACATAATACTGCCTTTGTTCATCAGTTATTTTCCAGGGGTCATCATAACTACTTGATTGCCTACGAATTTCATTTGCTGTTGTAGCTGATGCTACAGTTCGTACTGTTGTCTGGTCCTGAAATGAAATATTTTTCCTCAGTATTATCTACCTAAAATGCTTCTACGAATTCTCAACTTCTTGCCTTCAAAATATAAAGCATAGTTAAAACTCACAGTAGTTTAAAAACTGCAGGAAACCATCAGCAGATGGCATCTCCAGGATAATGGCAGGGTATTTTTGCACACTGATACAATATGGAATGACCGCAGGTATGTAAGCAGAAAAAAAAAAGTATGGCACATATGCATAAAAAGCTAAATATAAATGTTTAAAAGTCATAATTGCTGACATTTTAAAAATTAGTAGCTTTCATTTAATCATTCCAAATTAAAGCAAATCAACAGAACAAGTATCTGTTGGGCAAATAGCACTGAACTGACTACAGCACAGATACACAGTAAACAGCTGCAATGGAAATTATGAAGAAAAAAAAAAAAACAAGGATTGCAACATCAATCTGAATGAGGCAAATCAAATACCAATAAGTGTCACACCTGGACAGAAGCAGGATGTATGGCTAAAAGAGCACTGGTTGGTGGGGTATCAGCAAAACTGACCCAATTTTCTTGATGGGGTGGCGGTGAATGGCCAGACCATACGGGATCACTAGAAGTAGATGAGCCTGAAATTAGAAGAAACATTTCCTTTTCAAAAGACAACCTTGAAAACTGTGAAAGAACTGTGGATATGGAAATATCTCCTGTCAGGGAGATATACTATATAATGATGAGAAAAAATGAAAACCAAAGTGCACCAAGGTGACAAAGTTCACTTCCTAACATCTCACTTCTGTAAATTTTTACATTATGTTAGCTTCAATTTGCACTAAAAAGACAGAACTGTGGAATGAGCTTATTGCAACACATGTAAAATGTAAATTGGATTTTATCCATTTTATGGGTTTTGAATGAGTTAATAAAAACTCCACATTTTCATTTAACTGAAATAAGCAACACTTGTATGAACAAATACTATTTAAAAATGGCATATTATATTAGCATTTGACGTCATTATCAATATTAAACTTTTTTCTTTTTTACATTTTAGTTTGCCAATCAAAGAACAAAGTCTTGGAAATTCTTTTTAAGAATCAGGGGTTTTGGCACAGACAATCCTTTTCCTCTACATCATTTCTAGGCTAACTTAACTCAGTTGCTTAAAAGCAGGCCACGAATAACAAAAAGCATCCATATAGAATGCTGATATCTGCTGCTCTCTATTAACTATCTGGAACACAACAGCTGAAATTTACCCAATGTCCTGCTATAATCTACTTCTGAAGAATGTTAATGTTGAATATCTTAATATTAAAATAACAATGAAGCAACTACAGAAAGATAAGGCCATCCACTGCTCTACATACAAAACCATTAAAATTCTTTAAAATTGCAGTTGCAAATTAAAAATTTAAGGAACTTAGATCAGAGAGAAAACAAAACATTTAGATCAAGTCTGGAAGAATCCCAGGACTCCATTCTACTCTTCAATTCCTGAAAGAAATGCTGAACTCCTAAAATCTAAGCAACACTTGCACAACTAACTGCCTTCTCTTGAAATATGCCAAATAAAAGTCATGCTGGGATAAGAATTTTTGCCATCTATGCAGAAACAGGCTTCCTTTTAAAAGACAGGTCAGCTTCTTGTGAGTTTCTGTAAACCCTCCACACAACAAGAAACAGGACACAGATGTCATAAATTTAGTCCTGCTAGTAAGATTTCATTTCAAGCAATAAACACCAAGAATTTCTTGTCATGATGCTGGCTAAAAAACCTGCTATGACAAGTGCATTCATATAGAGGTAATCAAGTTATGAAGCTGACAAACATCAACAGTTTCAGGTTCTTGAAGCCTTTATGACACTGTACTGCAGTAAAAAGAATGAAGGAAATCTGAGAATCTGTGAGGCATGTTGAGGACTAACATATTAAATGACAGTATAATTGTTAGTGTACAATACTACTATCTAATACCTGGCAACATGAAATTACTTTTTCATTCCATAAATGAAAAGTAATAAGAAAAATGCTTAGAACCAGTTTATCTTTGCTCTTTTCCTACATACAGTAGTCATAATTGTGCAGAACACATTTAAGTTTGCATTACATTGAGTAAAAAGTAGCAATTGCATGAGGAGAATTTAATAATTTTTTTTTTTTTTGTGTGGAGGATTTTTTCTTTCTAAGTTAGCTTTAATATGATGAAAGGCACTATTAACTACTTATTTTGTCTGAAATTCATCCTCGGCTTTTGGAAGCTCCTGATGTAGCCTGGATCTTCTGGTGACTTTATCCAAAAATGCTGAGAATAAAGGTAAGCTGTCTGACAATGCTTTACTTGCTTTGAGGTTCTTCTTCAGTAGTTCACCTAATTCTCACACACTAGAAAAAACTCAACAGAAAAGCTCAGTCTCTTTCCACCTTGTCTCTAACAGAGAGTCAAAGGCAGACAAGACCTTCCCATCAGTCCTTTTGATACGCAACACTCAAATTTTATTTTTGATACACTGACTCTCCCCTTCTCTACCTCTCAGACACCGACATTATTACCATTAACCTTTTATATGTTTACTCCTCCTTCACTTCTCTCAACAACTGATCTTGGTACAATTCAATTCACATCTCACTTAGCACAGGATCTGTTCCAAAGCAGAACTTTGACAGCAACGGAAATGCCAGTAGCACCAAACTGTGATACCTTCAGAGTACTTTAAAGGTATTGCAAGAACTGTTTCATTTCTTTCCTGTTCAAATAATACCAGCAAGAACATTCTTACATTACTGTTCTTGTTATTTACTCTCCAGTGCAATGTTTTAGGATACAGGATGGGATGGCTGGAGAACACTGGAGAAGGATTACTAGCAACTATGGAGACCTGGATCTACACCCATACTCGTGAACTGCCACCAGCCAGTAACTCAATTTGACAAAACCCAATTGGAAACAGAAAGGTGGAAGAGAAAATGGAAGAAAACTGGGTCACAGAGAAGACTCAAAGCCATTGGTCTATTTTTATTTTACGATTTGTAACCCAATGTAGAAAACCTTCAGCGGTCTCTGTGCATCTTCATCAGTGGAAACACCTGCAACACCACTTTAAATGCAGAACAGGCCCAAGACCAATTATCAGATTCGAACAAGCTGGTGAAGTCTAATGCTCTATGTTTAGTATGAAGACCTAACAAATTCCTGTAGCTGCTCTCTTCCTCTAGCTTGAATATCTTACCAACATATTGATAACTTATGGAAAGTTATCTCATTTACGGTGGAATAAAAGGTACCCCCTTTACTTTGAGATATAAATGGAAATATTCTATCTAGTAATAAATATTCTATCTAGTTAACATGTACTTTTCAATAACTTTACTAGAACTAAATTTTCAACTAACTCTAAACTAAGAACAGCTTTCCTTATAATCAATCTGTGGTGAAAGAAAACCAGAAGCTGAATACAATTCAGACAATAAGAGAAAATGCTGGAGAGCTCTTATGCCCAGGTAAGAGTATTCTAAAGCTCGAAACAAGGCCAATGATCATCAGTTACTGAAGCATTAACTAGGGGACAAAGGACTATTCAGTCCCCTGCAAGCCCAGTAAATATCTTAGGGCTCTGAAAATGCAAGGGAACTGTTAGCACAGCAGACATATTGGCATTCAACTTCATTATCAATATTGAACTTTTTTCCACTTGTAGACGAGTTCCACTTCTGTCCCTGAAGTGTTCACAAATGGCTATAAAATTCCTCCCAAAGAGGAAAGAAAGAAGTATGGCTTAGGGCTGCAATTTCTCATGCATACTGAGATATCAACACACAGCTCTGATGTCATGCCAAAGAAAGCTAACACATATCCTAGGACAGAACAGAAGATCTCAGATTTTTTTAACTTGTTTTAGATCATTATTTGGATACTACCAACATAAATAGTCTGCTTTCTTCCAGTCCCAAGAGACAACAAGGTAATAAAAAAATATTTTAGCATTCTGACATGCCACTCAACTATCACTTAAAGTAGGGAAGGGTTCTTTCTCCCAAGTTTGTCAACAGCGTGATCTTATCTTAAACTGCTAAATCAAAGGCACCTGAAACACTTGAGAGACTCAGGCTTTAACAGATTTGGCTCTGACATTGCAGGATGAGACCTGAGCTAACTATAAATATTCTACACAGGTAGTCAATGTCTGTCACTGAATTTTAATTCCTGATACTAAAGTAAAATAAATGCATCCTTTGGGGCCCTCTTTACAAAAATTCTTGAAAAGAGACGGTAACAAGCCTTGGCCTCTGATTTCATGTTTGTAAGCACACTGAGCTAGTGTGACAGTGCCTCAGAAACCAGTAATATACATACAAAGCATTAGCACAATCCTAACTGAATTACAGTGACAGGGCAACACAAGTGACAAAAAACTGTGAAATCCAAATTTTTTTTCTCTGTTGAGACAAGAACAGGTTTTTGTCCAGGAAATTGATAACTACTGCTATGAGTTAGATTTCTAACGCAAGACAACGTGTAAGATTTTTTAAACCAACAATTGACTTATTATCTAATAATTATTCTACAGTCCAATTCAATAGAGGAAACACTGTTTAACTTTGTTCATAGTGGGAGTATGAGGACGCAATGGAACATTTACTATGCATAAGTCAGAATCTTCCTGTTTAAATGTATCTTTCTTCAACAAAAAGATTTGATTTTTGCCCTTCTGGTTTAAGCAACTTGCTGTTTATTATCTGACCCATCAGAAACACTTTCACACTTGAGATTCCATTATTACAGTTGACAATCTCATAATGTGAAATGATGTTTGAGAATAAAGTAAAATACAAGCAGAGAGGCCTGGGTTCTCACTTTGCTTGGATCACAAATGAACTGGCACAGCCCTACTGAAACTGCAACACTTCACCTGGTTTCTCAAAAATATCTTGCACTGGAATCAAGATGAGCTTGTAGTACTGATCTAAAGAAAACTAACCAACAGTCTATCTGGTTCTATCTAAATGTCATGAGAACATAATTTTTCTCTAAACACTGTCCTTAAAATGTAGGATCAAGAGAGGGAGGGAAAAGCTGAACTGTCTACAACAGCTGAAATTTAAAGCAATAATTAATTATCTGCAGTGCAATAGGATCATCCACAGTAAATTACACTGACAATTTTTCTTAAAGTAATACATGAAAAATCACTTTATCATTAGCATTGCCAGAAGATACAATCCTTCTATAAAACCATCTTTGAATTACTTTAAATCAACTATGAATGTGTTCCAGTATGGAACATAAAATCAGGGAATACTGAGCTGCTTAAGAAATAAGCTCAGATCACTTCTGAAAAATTTACCCATTAAACATCACAGGGAAACCATTGCCAAATGGAAATATTAACATAGTATCACAACTTTATTTTTAAGATAACAATACTGAACTCTTCAACACTAGGAAGAGTTTGCATACCGTCCTGGAGTCTGTGACTTTTTAAGTTAGAAAAACTTCACAAGTTAGAAATGCAACACACTTGTATTTCAGCTTTAGAGAAACAAAAGTCAACCAAACTACAGGAGAAAAAAGATTGAGAAGTTGAGTGCTGACAGTGCTCAGACTAAACCCTTAGAAGGGATTATATAAGCAATGAGCAGACTAATTTTTTATTTTAAATTGTAAATTGACTGGGACTTAATAGCAAACAACATTCAGGACACTGACATAAACCTCTGCATACAACCCACTTCACTTCTGAAGTTTTATTTTCTTATACAACCAATTTTAATAGAATCCCTGCTCCTCCATGGATGCTTAGAATTACAGAATGACAATAATTGAAAGGTGACAGACCAATTTTGGAATATCATAACTGAAATAAACCAAGCAATCAGAGTTCAGTCTTGAACTACAACCTACAAAATGCAACATTATTTAGCAGTGCCATCAAAATCAAAACCTGAATTACAATTGGTCCCGAATTTATTAAGACTACCAGGTATGAGAAAAGGAAACAGAACTTTTTAAAGTAAGATATTAAGGGGGAAAGCTTTTAAACCTGAATACAGTCATACAGTAACAGGGATGGTTTTCATGTTAAATGAAGAACATTAAAGGATGAAAAGTTTCACTGAAACAAGTGGTTCTACCTTGAGAGACTGGAAATGCAGACGCTTCAGTTGTTTATGTAAACTTTAAAGAAATAAAATTAATTGTTCTGGCAATTCAGCTAATGTACCAGAAATATAATTCAAGCAAACAATATATTATCTGCTGCTTTCCTTTGAGGTCCCCACATTTTCACATATACTGACACCTTCTGCACAATTTCACCAGGATTATCAGGGTTTTTTTAAAAACTTTCCACTGTAAAACTTAAGCACTCTTTCCCTCCCTCCAAACCCTTAGCATTTCCCACGTGAAACTAATAAATGGATCCGCGATATGCAAGACCACAGATTCTACAGTGCTATCAACACAGACACTTGAATCTGCAAGAAAATTTCCAGGACTGGAAAACACAAAGATAAGCTGTCCTAGGCTCATTTATTTAAGAATTCCACAACATTGGGTTACTACCGAAGCATAACAAGACATTTATACCTGGTTGTACTTCGCTAAATGGAGCCCAAAAAGGCCCAGGTCCAGCAAGAGGTCGCTCATTATTCCCTCCGCTGGGATGGCGGTTGTGCTTCCTCCAGGTATGTGGAGAGGTTGGTGGGGATTGCTGTGGTGAAACAACTGGAGAAGTGGACTCCTAATAAAACAGAGGAATCTTTTAAGATTTTTACTACATAACTAAATATATAAAAGCCTATCTAAAACCATTATTTCTAGAAACAACCATCACTACAGTTAAACTCTCATTTTAGAGAGTGAAAATTTTAGTACTTATTAAAATGAGGGAGCAGGACAAGTCAGGTACAGTATAACTAGGACTGAACACATTTACATCAAACAATGTAATTAATATATTTTTAACTTGACATTCTTAAAACAACAGCAATGCTGAGTTAAATTACTTAGCTACAAGGGAAACTAGATTATAAGACTCACTTTCACTTGTGATAGAAGTTACATTTGAAACCAGCTCTCAAAAGAAATACTTACTGTGCAATTTGTTATCCTACCAAATGTTAATCAAATGATTCAGTTATTTACTTTCATTTAAAATAAATGAGAATTATAGATTGGTGAAAAAAAATCACCAAATATGACACTTGATTTTTTAACATGCAAAAACATAGATGCTAACTTTAAAAATTGCTGTACAAGGTAATGTTGCCATGACACTAAGGCTCACACTTCTCTTTAATCCCATCCTGTATTATATTCTTCCTGAACAGGTGGGAAAAAAGAGAATCACATGCAATTTCTACATGGAATCAGTTCTCACAAGACATTCAGATTACCACTTTATTTCATTTCAAATAAAATATAAAGGAAGAATAATTTCTATTGTATGAAGTATTCTGTAGTAGAAAGTACTTTCTTCCCTATATCTTTTATCTTCTGAAATTCTTGTTTTCCAGTTCTCCCAATTTGAACTGAACTGTATTAGTGAAAACAAGTAAAACAAAGAAAATCTTGAGCCCCAAATATCCTGAAAAGTAATAACAAAGCCAAAAACCTCAAAATCTGTTTCATCAGTACATGGAAAGTTTCGTACTCTATGTAAACAGGTGTTAACATATTATCAAGTGCCAACAGACACACTGAACGTAGGCTTCCCTAAAATTACCCAAACTGATTTACTTTGCCTATAATCAAAGACCATTAAGCTTTTCAAACAATATTACACCTATGATAGTCTAAAAGTCTCTTAGAAAGCTAGAAAGTGCCATTAATAAGCTTTTCTCCAAGCAAGTTATATTCTAAAACTACATGCATCCTAACAAAAAAGTTCTAGAGCCACAATGACTGTAAATTTACAACATGTTGATGCAAACTTTTGCCTTTTTTTTGCCCTCTGATTTTCCTATTCCTTGTGAAGTGAAGCCACTTTGGCTGATACTACAGATGAGGTATTTTCTGGAAGTTCTGACTATTGAGTCGGATTTCCTCAACTAAGTTTCTAGGCTACAAGATTTCCAACTTTCTATTCCAAGTATTTAAATCATTCTCCTACATACTGGCAAAGAGTTTTACAAAATGGCTGGGAGCAACACTAATTCACTTCAGCTTTTAACTGAGGGATCAGCTGACTGCACAGTCTCTGTTACTGTTCCTCCACAGTACCTCCATGAACTCAATATAGGTGTTTTTTTGGTGCAGCTACATGCCTTTCTGAAATTTGCCTGAAGATTTCTCCTTGTTGCCAGATTTAGTTACCAGATTTATTTTCAATGGCAGGATGTTCCTATCCTCACTGGTGCATGGGGACAAGAGGGGAAGGAGTCAGGGTTTCCAAAGTGCCACTTGCAGACTGGAAAATGGAACTGAGGTTGAATGGCTACTGTGCCTAGCATTGTGCAACCAGTGATGGGAAAACCATGACACTGGATCACTTAAATCAATGAACAGCTCCCTCTTCCATTAGCTTTTATACAAGCCGTCTTTTATCAAACAAGATTTGAGGGATGCTTGAATTTTTCAGACAAAACATCATGGAGTAAATGTAGAGAAAGCTATGCTTGGACACAGATGTTATTCATTTAATCCAGTATCCTTACAAATCAGATAGTCCAGAAAGAAACAGAAGAAAACCTGAGGCAGACAAATGTATGATAGTCTACCTAGAGGAAACTACTCACTAGTTCTAGTAACTGCATGTGAACACTCAAACTTGATGCACAGTCATCATGAAGCAGCCCTGCCCTAGGCTGAGAACTGTGACTCTTCAGTAAGCCTCTGCCTAACAGCTGGTCTTATGCTGCTGGCACAGGAAAGAATTGTAAATATGATCCTCAATTTTAATTCTTCTAAATCTTTACTATACATGTGGTTTGTGCGATTCTGTAATTCTGGAATTACAAAACTGAGTCCTGAAGTACTCGTAACTTGGATATTTTTGAACTGACAAGAAGTTACTAAAAATAGCAAGTTAATTAAAGAAGGTGATATAATACATGGTTAAAGGAAGAGCCTTAGTGAAGACAAATCAAATAAAGTGGCTTAAGGCAGCACAATAATGTGCTAAAGGGACAATACTGTCCAGAGGGATCTCAGCCTCACAAGGGCACTATAAGCATACATGAGACAAATGAGATTATAAACCTTTTCCTGGGTGGCACACATCAGGCCAGAAAAAAATTGCCTAATGAGAATGCCAGAGGCAATGAAGCCAGACATGATATCTCAAAAATAGTTTTAAAGGTGTTGTGATCCAGGTCCTGATACCACCCAGCCTGCTTATGAGTTAGTCACCAGATCCATCATGACAAAAGATTTATTTGGAGATGGCAATTGCATTGTAAAACCCAGGTATTTTAATCAACTGGCCTTCATACCAAAGAACAAAACACCCCAAGGTTCAATGAGAACTTCTCCACTTGCAGCACTACACATTATTCAAGGCAGGATGTGTAGTTCAGCCAATTGAGGAAAATAATAATTAAACCAGAGCCAAATGAAAAAGGGATCAGTCACAGCATGAGAAATTATACTGGTATTTTTGCTATTTCCTCAGCAAAGGAACTGCACTACATTTAACCTGAAGCTGAACATTACCTCAGCAGGGTGTCATACAAGATAGTTCCAACAATGTGGAGATTATACAAGGATCTAAGGTGTAGAAGAACTGGCTATAGAAGGGGGCAAAGCTGGATTGTATCAGAATGGGAATTACAAGATTGAAGGAAAGTTTCTAATAATACTCTTGAATGACTGATTTGGACAATTTGATACTTTAGGTAACCAATTATGCACACTACATAGCATGCTTACGAACTGTGACAACAAATATAGGGCAGCCGACAGATGGGTCTCTTTCAGGACATAAGGAACAGTCAGCTATCAAATTTTAGAATTTAAAATACAGTTTTTCTTGCATAATGAATGTTACTACCAAAGGCCATAAAGAGAAGACTGGATGCACAGGTCACGTATCAGACCCCTACAGTATGTCAAGTATGAGAGATTTGCTTTATTCACAGCTGCCAAGATATATGAGGCAAGACATATCAAGCAAAAACAGGAAAGAACCCTACAAAACAGTATTAATACTGGTGAAATACCACTTGGAACAAGAAATAGAAATGTAGTAAAATATTTTCAATAAACACGAATTCAAATTGGATCACAACCAGAGAAGGATTAAGGATTACTGGTAACGACTTTATGAAATGAAACTGAGACTATGGATTGTTTTATCAAGCAAAACAGAGCTAAAGTAAAATACAATATTTACCCACTAAATACTGGTAGTGCCCTGCAGTAAATACTAATGACAAAGCTGTTAAATGAACCGGCTGAGTTAAATGGGAATTCCCACCATATTCCCATGAATATGGTGGGAATACTAAGGCCTTGGAATAGTTTTCCTCAACAAAGCCAGTGTGGAATAAAAGGCTTCACAGTTTCATGAGAGAACCCTGATCTTTTTAAAAACCTCTTATAATAATAAAATGACATATGAGATCTTTTCCAGTTCTGTGCTTGTGAACCAGGTATATTTTATCTGAAATTACCTGTTCAATCTACAAAAGAGAAGTGCACAGAAATGAACTACCAGAACTCCTAGCAGAACCTTAAAATAAAATCACACTAGTTTTCATACAGGTGAAAGAATTAAAACGATCAAATTCTGTCTGCTACAGGTACCAAATTTGAGCTTCTCCTCCTAAGGCTGCACTGACATAGCACTAGATCAGTACGATCTGGAGGGCCAGTAATATGCTTAATGCACCCATAGGCAGAGGAGTACCTTCAGCTTTACCTTTTATTTTCACAAGGGCATAGCAAGTTTCAGCCTGTAAGTGTTAGTCAGATACTGAGACTTTAACATCTGAAAAACACGTATCTATTGAAACTACATATCCCCTTTCCTGGAAAAAGAGGAAAAAGTATCCTAAAGCAGTACCTGATCAACATTGGATCATACTTAAAAAAACCCGAAAAAAGTATTTGTTTTTTGGCTTTATCAGCGAAACACAAAATGTCTCCAACACAGAATGCTTAGTCACTCATGAGCTACTTTCAGAAGACAAAATTCTTCCTAATCTCAATATTGCTGCTTCTTCCAAGAAAGTTTTCAGTACACTAACATTTTTATTAACATAGCTGCTACTACCAAGGTATAGATATGTATATACTACCGTGGTAGCATACCCTTGTCACCAACGTGCTTGTATAGGTGTCACACTGTCAGCAGAAGTGCTCAAATCTACTTAGTCTCTATTTTACCGGAATAAGAAATTCTGTCAGAAGGAAAAAAAAATATTTTCCCCCCAGTGTTTTATCTCCATTAGGATGTGCAGTTAACATGTTATCCAGTGAGGGATGGCATCTTTCATTACTCAGCTAGACTTCTAAAATCAGTTCTGCAGCTTCCATGACAGCTGAGCATAACTCCATTCACCTTCTAACAATATTAAAAAGATATAAACTTCTGCCCAGTGCTATATTTATAAATAACAAAAGCTACCACAAAATCATTTATAGCTACTCTTTGGAAACACAACCTAACTGTTATTTCCCAATTCCCTGCCTCCAAGTAAAGTTCATTGAGGGAACTGCTGAAATAATGCATTGAAAAAGAAATAGTTTTACCTAGAACATTTCAGTAAACAACATACTGAGTAAAGTTCTTCTGCATAAACTATTTGTAATTATGAGATATTATACTATGCATGACAAATCTCACCAATAGGGAAAGCTGCATATAAATGAAACAGTTTTTAAAGATGAAGATTAAGATATCTTATGATGCCATACAAATAGTATTTCAGCCATAGTATTTTAAGAAATCAATGTGTTTTCAAGTGCTGGTCTGTCGCCCTGATTTTGTAAGACTTTGTTAAGCCTTCTGATGTTTACATTCTTTCAGCAAACTTTCTCACACCCAGTTCTGTAAATAACCTATGTTTTGCATTCTTTCATGGAGGTGGAGAGAATTGATGGACCCTTGGTCTGTCCAGTGGCATTGGAGAGGTGGCACTGTCACCCTCCAATCCACTGTCACCTTTGGAAAACTATAAATGTTGGAGTCAGAAAATAAAGGTTCTTCTTCTTCTTTTTTGTTCCCCTCGAGAGCAGCAGTGTCTGGGTCATCATTTCGTGCCTTATCACAACACTGGTCACATTCTCAAAGGCACAAACGGTTTAAGAAAAAACAACCCCCCAAATTTGCTAATGGAGAATCTAACAATGATAAGCTCCATGAGTGAAATATCCAAGCTTAACTGATATATTCCTCCAGAAAGAAGAGTGATCCCTAGGAAGATGACACACTGTGATTTACACACTGTGATGAGGGTTCTCTCATGAAACTGTGAAGCCTTTTATTCCACACTGTCAGACTCCATCTCTTCAAACACTTATCGGTCAAAAAGGTGGCACGAGAATTCAGAATCTGAAACTCTTTCTCGATTTTATAAACCTGAATGGTATCTCCAGGTCAAGATGACTAAATCAGCAATTTCCATGAAAACACAGATAAAAGCAGCACCCATCTTTTTTAAAGTAACCTGATTAGAGTATTTTTATGGTTATGTGAGAAACCTGGGCTCAAGCCCCTTTCTTTTTCCCAGTTTCTTTCTAACCTGGTAAGAAATCACTAAGTATTAGATTGGGACAATAAGGCTGCTTGAATGGGTTCATGGTACAGAAACGTAGCATTAGAATATTCCATAATGTAGCCATACAATGTTCAGTTTTGCAACAGAGTGCACAATTATATAACACTTACTCCATGTTCTAGAACGTGAAACTTAGTTATGTGTTGTCTGTTACATTTGTTCCAAGTCTGCTTTCTGGGCCAGATTACTCCAAGGACTTGGATACAGAGTTTCTTTATTCTGATGATCCAGACAGACTTGTGTAAAAAAGAAATACCAAGTTGCTTTTAACAGCCAAGACAGAAATGAAATTGGGATACACATACACTTCTGTGAATATGTGGCTTCTTCATTCTGAACTTGAAGACCTCAAACACCAGATTTATTTTTCTTTTTGTTATTTTAACATTATGCCACAACAGATTCCTGTATCAAATTACAACTGGTCACTAAATAAACTCAACATCATGACGGAAGCATATAAAACACAGTTTCAACCCAACCAAAACCTCATAATCAGACTTAGGAAATCTGCAATGTGCAAAGTGTTTGGTAGCTCTCTCAAACACACCTAACCAAAACTAGACAGCAAAAAGCTATCTGGAGACTTACTGCTAGCTCTTTTTTCATTATATTCCCCATCTTCTCTTTGAAAGAAAGGAAGTGGCAGCCAAACACTGATTATGGATTTCCTCTACTAATTTACTTTTTCTTTGTATTGGATCAGTCTGGGCTATTTCCATAGAGACTAATAAATGTTTCTGAGTGATTCCTTGATTCCCACAGAGACTATGGGACATTTGCAAGTTCCCCAATTCTTTACAAAATAAGCCCAGAAAAAAAGCACACCACTGGGAAGAAAACAGGTCATTCAATACATATACCCAGCAAAATTTAGCATTTGTACTCAGCTCTTGTTTGTAGAAAAGACAATCAGAAAGGATTTCCCTATGGACAAAGAGCACCAAGACTGTAAACCCAAGGAATTGCATATGAGAAGGCAAGAGTTTTAAGTCTTTACAGTTTTCATTACTTCAGACTTCTTGTCACTGAAGATGAAAGAACCAGTGAACAAAAAATAATCAGTTTTCTCATTATTAAAATATAAGAAAAAGCTATTTGAAAACTTTGGTCTGTTCTTCTGGTTCTCATTGTCTCTCCTTAGCAGTTAAACCACAGAACAACAAAATGTGAGGCAGAGAAAAGCAACAGTTTAAAAAATTTAGAGAATTTTTTTCTAAATACTGTTCCAAGGACCAGGAAACTGATAGGAACAATTTAATAAATGAGTTATTAATACCACAATGACTACAACTATATATTTGCCATCCTAAATTACACACTGAATTTCTTTTCTGTCTCAATTCTTTGTCCATTACTGCCAATATTTTAAACACTGATTTTAAGACTTCATAAAAAATGTCTCCTTACATGCAAGCATTTCAGAGGCAGATATGGTCTTCGTGTATAATATATAAAATTTTTTTAAAGAAAATATATTGAAAGTAACTTAGCTTAGAAGCCCTATCAAACTGACATCTACACAGCAAAATAGTGATTTAATCTTTTAAGTTAATTTACCTGTTGATCAGTTGATGTACGCTGCTGAACTGCATCATGGCTCACAGAGCCTTTTTTGACTTGTATCCTGCCAGGTGGAGGAGGAGGAATCACACCTGAATATGAAGCTGGATTATCAGCATCTGAAGAATACAAGGCTGTGTGTCTTGACTCTTGTTCATTCTTTGACACAACAAATCTGGGAAGAGGGAGGTCCTTTACTGTTAAAAAAAACACAAAGCAGGACATTCACTATCCATAAATATGATGATTAAAAATAAAAACACTGTTCTATTTTGAAGTTAAAATTTCACATGTGACTCAATTCCTTACACACTGAGACTGCTGCTATAGTCAAGCCAACACCTGGCAGCTGGAAAAAGCAAATACCTATTCTGCATTAGACTTCATGATTCTGTTACCCAAGTTCCGACTTTGGTACACAAAGATGACTTCACATTGCTCCACTACAGCTTTGCACTACAACTGTGCATTAAATGCAGCAGCAACCAGATAACCTGGATTTAGCTCATATTTTTTTAGATTTGTCAACATTTCATTACTGAAGCATGATTTTCAAAATTTTCCTACCATTTCTAGCACATACCAATAACTAGGGTCTTCATATAGAATGGTTCATCAGCAAAACAAATGCTAAAATACTGCACTATATTCAGTATCGTCTTTTGGTGATCTAATGTCATGTTCATATTTACAGAAGATAATATAATCTAGTTGTACCACAGAGTGTGACTATTGCTTAAACACATCTATGCATACTTTTCTACAATGAAAGCTAAATTAGCTCATTTGGAATACTGGAAATACAACTGGAAATATTCCAATGTCACCTCATTTGATATGAACAACTAAAATACAAAGTTTCTACAAAATGCTAGGAAGCCCATTAGTTTAATGTACCATGGTTCAGAGTAGCCCAACATAGAAATGAGACTATGTAAACCTTCAATTTTCCACTGCAAGATCTCTACCATTTTTCTCCCAACTGCAATCTTCTTAGTGCTCCACTTTGAATAAACATAAATTGTGAATTTGCTGTACAGCTTATTTGAAAATTATGTCTCCAACACAAAACAAAATTACAAGCATGGCTCAAATTTAATTTCTCTTGCTGACTGCCCACGTAAACTACTTCTGGTGCTGAGAATGAGTCAGTGGCACTACATCTATATTAAAATATAAGATGAAATTGCATACTGTTTATTACATGAGCATTGTACCCCATGCTGCAGCAGGGAAGTAACATAACTAATCAGCAAACCACAGCCAGCCAAAAAGTGAAAAAGCCATTGCATACAAGTGAAAATGTCTATGTCTGCAAAACCAGGAAAATACAGACACCAGATGATCCAACTGACACAGGGGAAGTCTGTGCAATCAGCTGTGCCAGCACAAGTCACAAAAATAATAGAGAACTCAAAAGAAACACAAAACACTGTTTCTTCTTTAAAAGCAAGACTAGATAAATATAGGTTTGTTTAGCTGTACTAAGTTCCTACATGACTAACCTGCTATTTTTACCTCTCTCCTCTAACTTTTTCCAGTAACAGCGAAAAATCTCATTTCAACACTACAACATTTGTTACCATTCAGAAATCCCTCAATTATAAATGTGAGAGCTGTCATGAATGGAACTAACCCTTGATATTGAGTATATTAAAGAGTTCTCTGTACTTTTCATGCCCACATCCTTCCTAATATTTTTTTCCACCAAAACCTGCAAAAAATAAATATTGCTTTGAAATAGACACTGCTCATTCATGTCTCAAGTTTTAGCTTCCTGGAAAGAAAACTTGTTGGGACAAAGGAACAACAGCTTTGGAGGCTTGTAGCATAATAACTAATGCCAGTATTCTTACTCTACTGCCCGTCTGAGTAATCAAAAGAGTACTTAAGAATCAGTTGGACCACACTTATGTTAGACTTAGTATTTAAAATTTGACTGAGTTTCCACCCAGGAATTCAGATAAAGCAAATTCATTGTCTACTGACAAGACACACAAAAAACCAAAAGGAAAAAGTAGGAAGGTGAAGGAAATTCCCATGTTAAAAGAACGAAGAAAATTCAGAAAATCAATGAAACACGCATAAAATTGAGAGCTAAAAAGTAGACGTGCAAAAATATAAGCTTTAACTAATTTTAAATGTCTGAAGAGACAAAGAGTATACAGCTTAGTTTGGGATGGCTCTAACACTTCATCTTCAAGACATCTTGGAAATGGAATGTGCAGAACTAAGCTAGCAAAGCTCAGAATCATTTTATCAGCCTGCTGCATTTTAGTTGTTGAGTTAGCTGTTACAACAACACTTGAATCATTCTAGAAGCAGGAAATTCATAGATAGGACTGGAACCACTGCAACCAAGGCAACAGACCATAGCTAAAAACAGTTAGGGTAAAAATAAATGTTCTCTCTATTGTACTTGGTGTATTTTGTAGCCTTGGAACCAGTTACAGAAGATGATTTCTGAACTTCTAGGAATAATTACAAGCATTTCTAATATTGTCATGATATCAATGTGAAATAAAACTTCCAATCACTGTTAACTTTTTAGCAAGATATTTTATATTTTGGAATGAATTCTGTACCTTCATTTCATTCTTTCCTTCAAAATTCTTGTAATTTCTTTTTTTTTTTTTTTTTAATAGAGAAGCTCCTTCTGGTTAAGGTACCTTGCATTAAAATAAAACCAAGACTATAAAATCCCTGCAAAAAGCCCACATACAGATTTGTCTTTCCCTTCTCCAACAGGCATTTTATGAGAAATTCCACAATCGTTTGATCAAGTTCCAGTTTTATCAGTATTAAGAGTTGAAGGTTCTTTTTCCAGCTTTCCGTTTACAGGGCATTCTGCTACAACTTGCTAAGGCTTTTGATTAGGGAACACATCAGGAAAACTGTGTTTATAAATACACAGTGGCTTATAAACAGAAAGGGACTTGAATACTAGCAAAATGTTGACTAAAACAATGCACTTTTCCAAAAAACTACAAAACTCCATGAAACCAGTATAAACAGTTTGTATGAGCCTAGAATAAACATAACTGTGAAAGTATACACAGTGATTCATTTCTTTTTTATAGCTTTGTCAAATACTTCTGTCATATCAGATTGTTTTCAACAGTCTCCTTAATTGCTTCATCTATATCCTTTAGACATAGTCTCCTAAGACTTCTTTTATTTACTAGCATATGAAAATCATAACATTATTCCACAGACATGAAATCTATTAGGAAAGTCACTCTAAGGCAAAACTGTGGTCCAAAGATATTTTTAGCTTGTGAGCTGTGTACTATAATGCAAGGGCTATAGTGCCTTAAAACTCATTACTTCATCTTCCTAAGTCTCTTTTCATCTTACAAAACAACAAGGACACGGATCCACTTATCTCATTCAGAAGGCTACAGGAGAGCCTCACATCAAAGCTCTTCCTGCAGCTCTAAACCGTCTTTCTAGAGTAAGCCTTCCTCCTGTTTCACCTATTTCACCACCCATACCACAGCTGACCTTTGAAAAGTAGGGTAACAGGTGATTTGGCTGACAACAGACTTCAAAGATCTTTTTACAGGTCACTTTTTTCACTAGGAAAAAATCTTAAGCTAATCTTCATATCTGCTCCTTGAAGGGAAAAAACTGTCAAACCAAGTGCAAAGAGATGTAATGTTAGAAAAGATAACCTTCTGTTTGCCACAATCAAGGCTTTGGAAACCCAGCAGCTACAAAAGCTTGCAAATGCTGTACTCTTCTCTCCTTCCTGTTTACATCACTCCTCTTAGTACTTCACTCAGAGGACACAGCACACACTTTCTCACATCACTAATCTACAGAATTAATTTGCTCCTACATAGCAAGGTACAAGTTGTTCATTCGTCCCATGGCAAATGCAATACTTATTCAACGAGTAAGGTATTTCAACTTGTATTTACTGCACAGTAAGAAAACACTCTATCAGTTTCTCCACATTTTTAAATAGCAACACAGATAAAGACATATCCCACTAATTTACAAGGTTACTCCGTAAGAATATGTAAGCCAACTACCAATACCTGCACTCAGCAACTCAATCCCCACTCTCCCCACCCTGTGATTTACCTGTATTTAAGCTTTCCACTCTTAGAGGGAGACCAGATTGGGCCACAGCAACAAGTTTCAAAGCAATGTAAAACTGACTTCTTCCAAAATAGCCAAGTCTTGTTGCACCACAGAGCTCCATAATCTGAAATGAAACACAGTTACTTACAGAAAGAAATTTTAAACACAATAGCTATACAGATTTCATACATTTCAGAGTAGCGTGCCATGTTTTCAAACATATTGACTGCATCTCACTCCACAGTGATGACCTGCAATTTTATTGAAGGGCATTCCAGCTTGTGCCAGGTCACTGATAAGATACTAAGCACGACACATTCTAAATCAGACTCTCAGAGCTAAATGATCCAGACTACCTTTTTATCTATTGAGCAGTCTCATCTAGACTGCAATGTTCCAAATGGGAAACAAAGATGCTCTTGGAATACTACAGCGAAACACTTGTTGAAGTCAATGTAGATGGCATCACTGCTTCTCTTTCGTCAACCACAGCTCCAGACAATCTGGTGGGCAAGTACTCTTGGCAATCCTAATTACTGTTTTCACCTTCATATGCCTAGAAACGCCTTCTAAACAGACTGGCTCTACAATTCCTCAGGGGCCAAACTGCAGCTGACCAGCATGCAGTTCCCCAAATCTTCCTTTACTTTCCTGAAGATGACTGCAACATCTTTCTCCAGTCACTGAGACGCAACACTGATCTCCACAACTATTCAAAGAGAAAGATGGCTTGCAACAACGTTAGCTAGCCCTCTCAACATGCTCAGAAGGATCCCATCTAATCCCATGGATTTGATACTTCTCTAGTATCTTTGTGCAATATTACTAGTTTCTCTCCTTCAATCTCACCTCAGGCACAGAAGTCTACAAGACTTTGCCTGTGACCATCAGTGCAGAGAATATCAGACTAATTTACAACCATGGACATTCATTTCTGTCCTCACCCTTTCCACGTGAGCTCAGTCATGTTCCCTTGTTGGCAAACCTGGCCTCTTGTCTGATCTGATCATTTTCCTAACTACTGGGATGTACTATTACTGGACTTAGAGCAAGCTGTCCTGAAAGGTTTCCCAGCTGTCAGAAGACACAGTTCTGACTGCAGAGGAGCCCTAGCTGCAGGCAAGCTCCAGCTGAAGAATTGAACTTTCACACAGTAGTAACTGAGCCACCCAATGCACCAAGCTGTTAGCCTGTGTGCTTCAGCACCAGTGGATCTGAAAACAGACTTCAGTAACTCTACCCAATGAATCAGATGAGTTTATTAACTACAACTGAGCCAGATGCAGTTCAACAAAAAACTACTTGGTTATCTCCTTGCCATGCACCAGGATTCTGGAACCCCATGAAAATAAGCTGCTGTAAAACCCATCACAGGAAGGTGCAGGAAGTTGACAAACACTTAGTTCCAAAAAAGTCACAAGAGGATCAGCAGGTTTAGGGTTGTACACGCAACTCAAATCCTGCTGGACAAAAAATACTGCATTAAATCAATTGTCTGTGTCTGCATCACACTTCACACATTGTCCCACAGCTCCTCTGTTATATGTATTTTCCCACTGTAGTATTTCTGCAGCATGATGTCTGGAGAGAAGTCAGGGGATCACACATTAATTTCAACAGGTTGGTTGGTGTAGCCATGATATTATGGAAAATCCTTGCTGGGATTTTTCCTCTCCTGAGAAGCTGAGGAGCCTCAGGAGAGAAAGGTAAACAATTCCTATCTGCTGCTGTGGAATGCAACAGGTGCATCTGTGATTGGTGCATGTGGATTGTTTTCCATTGATGACCAACCACAGCCACCTGTGCCAAGGCTGTGAGCAGTCACAGGATTTTTGTTATTCTATTCTGTTCTGTTCCGTTCTTGTAGCCTTCTGATCTCTCTGTTCTTTTAGTATAGTCTTAATGTAGCATTTTAATATAATATCTAACATAATAAATCAGCCTTCTGAAATGGAGTCAAGCCTCGTGTCTCCACACACGGAGAGGAATCATCAACAGGTTGGACTACAGAAAGTTCCACCAGGAAAGAAGTCACAGTGTAACTGTCAGTGACAGATGACAATTCAAATAAAAGCTGAGCCATCAACATCTAAACCTTTACTCAACCTAATGCCAAAAATAATTTCCGGAGTTTAAATAACTAGCAGAGCTAAAGCAGTGGAGATTCAAGAGACAGCTAGGAATCAAAACCAGTGTGACAGCAAAAGCAATTCTTTTTTAAAGCACTGTATGCTGGAAGACTGATGGAACATCCACATACTTGACTACAAGCAAAATAGAAAAAGCTGGTTGATTCAGTGGCCTAGCACCAACAGATGGGCTAACCAGACTCTCATGAGTTTTATGAAAAGAAGCAATGATAGAGGAATTTTAGCTTATGGAATCATCAGGCAGTGATGGCTTTGTGCAATTTCAAAGTCATGGCTGAACCAGAAACTACCTTTTGTTGGAGCTTGTCAGTACTGCCAGATAGGAAAAAAAAAAAAAAAAAACCTTCAGTTAAAAACTGAATTAATAACTAAGCTACTCTGACAGGTAAGTATGAGAAAGGAAAGGCAGACATGGATTCAAAGTAAATATATATAAATACACAGGAAGTGCAAAAAGCTAATGATACCAAAAAAAAACCCAAAACATAAACCACCCAGTCCTCCTCACCCACCCCGCCTCCAAAAAGAATGCTCTTCTGCTGCTGAACAAGAGGTGTCAAATCCACTCATAGCTAGCTAAAGGAGTCCTCTATTTCAAATACAGAATATAACCTAATTAGAAACATGACTGAAGGTTGAGTAAAATCATTAGATGCAAGCATCTAGTGGAAACTCCTCTGCTGAGTGACATCATGCCCAAACATACTCCAAACACTATACCTGGAAATTCCCTGAAGCAGGATTTAAACATGAAACAGGTATTAAGCTATACTGAATGGGGGAATAATAATAAAAAAAATATCAAATAATTGCTTCTCTGAGATTTAGTACTTTCATCTACTTAAGAAGAGAGAGGATAAGGAATTTCCCTAAACTCCTCAAGGAATGCAGAGCCATCTTCAAGACAAAATGCTTCACAACTGTTCTAATCTCCTTAGATATGAAGAACCTGAGGTCACACTGCTGCAATTTAGTGGAGTCAGGTAAACAACTCAGTAAAGCTCCAGAATTGTTGAAAACCCTCGATACAAAAAATACCAAAAAAACCCAAACAAACAAAAAAACCCACAAAAATCACACCTCTGTGCAGTAGCTGTGAATTATTAAATTGTATGCTGAGTCATCATACCACAAAGACATAACAGCATCAGAAATACCAGGAGCTGGCAGAAACCAGACATGGCTGGGCAGCAGTGTGTTGTCAAAGGGCACTGTTTCAAGCAGATACCTTCTAGAACCCTTACAGGTTTCAAATACGAGGCCCTTGAACTTTGAGAGGTTTGTGAACCTTTACAAATTCCACGTGAAGTGGAACAAATAATTTCTCTATCAAATGCCCTGAAACACATTTCCCAGAACTCAGGAAATCTCTCCGGGAGTGTCTTCCAGAACATCAGTCTCCCTGCCCCCAGGTTCTTCTACAAGGCAAATACAGCCCATTATCTGTAAATATTATTCATGCAAAAGTAAAACAGTATTTAAACAGGGATGACTTCAATGCTAAAACAATAAATGAAGCAACATGAATGCCACCTACACAGTAAAGATAAAAATATTTCATCTGCTTGGAGAGAGTTACTTAAGCTCCTAGTGTTCCATACCAGAGGGTGGTAAGAGGCAAGACCTGAAGACAACTTTAGCAGGCTGGAAGCTAAAACAGACATGCTGTGTGCTGACGGGAGGAGGAGTGAACAAACTTAGAGGAGGACCCTTTGTATCATCTCATCCAAACTAGGACATTGTTGATTAAAAAAGAAGTCTTATACCAAGAACAGAAACATGAAAACTGTTAAACACAAAGAAACCCTACACGGAATCACACAATAGTTGAACTTGCAAAGGTCTTTCGGAGATCATTTGCTCCACTCCCCCTGCTCAAAGCAAGCTCAGCAGGTTGCTTTGGACTGTTTCCAGTTGGAATTTTGAGAATATATCCAAGTAGGGAAACTCTACAACCTCTCTAGACAACACCTGTGAGTGATCACCTTTACAGTAACAAAGTTTTCTCTCATGTTTAAATTTAACAAAGACCATGAACAATTCCATGTAAACCAAGTACCAGAAATAAAAAACAAGTTCTCACGTTCATTATATAACATATATTTGATACAAACTTGAGTTAAACCAAACCATATGAATATACTTGTGCCTCAATATTTAGAAAATGAATTTGAGTTTTACTGTACGTATTAACAATAACCTTCAAATGAAAAACAAGCATTACATTAAAAAAAGTTGTTTACTTACGATATAAAAAAGATTAAAAAATAAATATAATAACTTGCTTCAGTTTTGTTAGTTAATAAAAATGTAATTGATTATGGACTGATTTTATATCACAGTTTACAATTTAGAAATGTATCATATCAACACTGTTATTTCTGCATCTCATACACAGTAGTTCATTAATGAGTTTTGAAACCGAAAATATATGACAGTGTTTTCCAACTTAAAAGTTTACTAGAATACAACCTCAAATTGGTTTCTAGTACACAATGTCCTATGGCAATGCTGTCCTGAAGTCATGTACTCCACTCACCTCAGCTACAACAAAATTTAGCCACATCTTTAATGTAATTCAGGGATGTGTGATGTAAGCTGAAAAAATGTTTCCTAATCATTGCTATAGTAGTGGAAAAAAACCCCTGACCATCCCTACACACTAAAGAACGATGAAAATCTCCTTCACTAATTTTCTCCTAGTTTGAGCACATTTCTGTCCTCCCAATTCTTATCTTCTAATCACATTACTCTGCAACTGCTGTTAGATCGATTGCTGTAATTTCATTTATCTCAATCTACCGCACTAATTGCTGACCACAGCCTGGCACGGTTTTCCAACTACAATCTTTCACCTATTGTCAACTGGACAAAGCAATACTGATTAGTCTGCTAATATTAGTTAGAATTTTTAACTTCTCTTCAAAGATATCCCTTGACAGATAGTTTCACAAATGCAACAACTGTTGCACCA